CACATATCATGCACTTGAACAAAAAATGGGCTTCCGCGTTTCAGGCCTTCGACTAGACCATAGTTCAAGTGCCATTAAAATCGAGTCTTGGCACTCGGACATCTGCCAATGTGAAGATGGGATTGGAATGGGAATGGAAATGGCCATGGAAATAGGGTGAAGTGGAAGTTTGTGCAACAAATTAGTAGCAAAGTTGGCTCCGACTCTGACCCTGCCTCCTACTCTTACTGCTACTCCAACTACCATTGTCGGCTCGCACTTGGGCAAATATCCGACTGCGGAAATTGCAATGAGACACGTGATCATGGAGACTCCACTACATCCGCCTGCCAGACAAATAAATCTTCATTTTGACTTGAACTTTTGCTGTGGTCCGTCGGCCAAAACGAGAAGTTGGTAGCAAATTAACAGCTGTTGCGTAGCTGTGGTTCCAAGCTCCAAGCTCCAAGCTTCCCTAGCTTCCGTAGCTTCCTTAGCTCCTGAGTTCCTGCGGCTTTGCAGGTGATTTACGGCCAAGTTGAGACTCGACCAACATCGTCTGCATATTAATATGTGACTTGGCATTTTACTTTCTACGCCATGGAACTTGCAATCAAATCCATCTCCTGCACTTTCCCCCAGACGCATTCCTTTTGTGCTTCTTTGCCCCTCGTAGACCTTTTGGTCCTTTGCTCGCAGCACGTTTTATTGTTGTGCCGGCCAATTTGTGACGAGTGAGTGCATATAATAAAGCAAATTATATTTCAAATTCAAATGCTATGCAGTCGAGCGGAAGGCGTCTCAAGAGCCAGGCCCCACAACGATAACGTGGCTGAAAGCACGGACTACGTATACGCCATGTTGTCTAGTTGGCCCAACGTGACCATGGCCTTTGCGATTCCTGGTTGAGAAAAGTATGTTACAATTATTTTCATCAAAAAACATCAAGAGAATTCCTCGACGTACACCACACGAAGTTTTGGTTTGCAATATGGACTTAAAATATACAGTTTTTAAGTTTTAATTTCATTAATTTAAGGTTTTTTTTATAAATTATTAGGGATAATGCTGAAGGTTGAAAGCTGTGCAGAATTATATTTATCTTGCTTTTTTTTTTCCTTCTTGCTCTTTTTTAATCAAACTAACTCTTCTCACATATTCGCTATTTAAGTAAATTAAATTGATCCCAATTATTTAATTTATTTCCTATAAAAAATAGAATTATTAGCCATTTGATTTGTTAGTTAGTCCAATCAGAAATAATATTGTTATTTCAATTGAAATCAAATATTTTATGCAATCACAGTTAACCGAGAACATTTTTGCGTAAAAATTAAATTTAATCCTATTAGTTTAATTGGTCGCCTGGACGTCATTTGTGCGACGTTTTTTGCCGTTGTCCTGGCTGTTGTTGATTTTCTATGTTATGTTCTACAACATGGAAGGCAAAAAGGCAGAACAAAACAGGACTGCACTTGAAATTGTTGATGGGCAAAGTGAGGAGACTTGTATGTGCGTCAGAATATCCTTTTGCCGGGACTTTCCTGCCCAACGGTTGCATCCGCATGCTTAAAGTTTTGTTTCGGGTTTTTCATTTTTTTGTTTTCTGTTCTTTTGGGTGTGTCAACTTTTTCCTTTGTTTTGCATTTTAGTTGCCCTCAGCTTCTGATCCCCACACCCTATCACCAACCTCCCCCTTCCCTCTTGACAATCGGGAAAAGCATTTCGAAAATGTGGAGAAATGAAAACTTCTGGCCTGGTCTGCAATGCTGACCGATGTCGACATCGTTGTTGGCCAGCCGCATGGCATAAAGAGCGACAGTCCGCAGGACATTTTATATTTAATTTACAGTGTGACCGCACTTGGTCTCTGTCCGTCTATCCGTCTCTGTCCATCCGCTATCCCCCTCTCCTTTTGTCCTTCACATACCAACATGCATATATATGTATATAATACCATTCCATTCGCTGTGCGAGTGCATTTAATAAAGTGCAATGCGGCTTGGAAAATGCACGGGGGAAGCCATCCGTTCGTTGATTTTCACTCTCTGAGTTTTTCCCGCATCAACGTATTTTGTTTGTTCTCGCCACACGGTCAGAAATTAATTTCTAATTCCCATTATGGTGGTCCAGTTTGCCCGAAATCTACTAAATACGCTATCCATTAAGTAAACACATACATTTTTAAACGAAAATTGCATTAAATAAAGTTTCAAATAGGCTTTCGTCCATCCAAAGTGGGGATTAGCGAGTGGACGGCCAGCTGATTGGGGGGGAGAGATTGGAAGCTGAATAGGGTGGGATGGGTAGGTGTGCCACAATCACAGTGACCAAGAGTTGCCACAACAACAACAACTGAAATAAACCCAACAAATTCGAATGGGAATTAAAACGGAAAACTTGAAAAGGAAACATGAAGTTAAGTACTTTCAATACTCTTTGGGGGGTTTTTAAGTGTACACTTCTATTATGTGGAAAATGAAATTTATAAGTTAAGGTTTTTTGCAATAAAATACTTTTGAAATATCTCATAATAAATGTGTACTAACAAACAAACCTCTAATAAAGAAAACATAAATTTTTGCTTATACTTAAAATTATATATTTTTAAGAGCATTAAATCGGTCAGTTAAAACTTATTCGGGCAGCACCAAATTCCTTTCTCAATTATTTTTGCCCTGTATCCACTCGACAATTTTTTTGTATATTTTTTTCTTTTTTGAGTTCCTGAACTTGTGGGGATTTTTTTTTTTAGCAAGATTAGTGGGTAGAGGGTCCACTCTGAATTGATGCCGAGGATTGGATGAGCTGAAGCCCCGTCCATGTCCATGGGCCATTCAGTGTGCAGTCGTCCACACTTTTATTGCTTTAATTGCGCACCGAAGCGCAACAAGAATCGACGCACAACCATCCACTCACATCTAGGACACACATGTTGCTAATGAAGTTTTCTAACAACATTTCAACTCATGTCAGATCATAATCTGTTAATCTGCGAGGCCCGACCCACGGCAGAGGGATGCCTGAAATGGCATAAAAATAAACTAGAACATGTCGAAGCTGGCGACAACTGTACCAAAAAAAACACACATACATCAATCCCCAGGACACTTAGGTCCTTTTACTCCACTTTTGACCTAGCAGTCGTGGAGGAAAGCTAATGAAAATGGATTTTTAGTTTGTCATCGAAGGGCGGCAGTCATTTAGAGAGACATGTTCAAAAGGCCTGATTAAGATGACGAAGCTTGTAAGTAGGCTAATTGAAAAGGGATACTCGATAACCCAAAGAAGATGACAGACTTAAATTAAGATACTTTTGAAAATTTCTTTTCTTCAGAAATCAGATTATTTCCCTATAAAGATGAAACTTATGTAATCTAATGTTTTATTCTTCTTATGTAGGTATTTATCTATTATTAATCTCATTATTCTTGCTTTATACCTAAAACTAATTCATTAACTTGGAATTGGAATGTAGTTCTTCTTGCTTCAATATTACAATTTACTAATTTGATCGATTGCTTAAGCTGCCACCGAAACTCGGCGCATTAATAATATCCTTTGGCAAACACAAACACAAATAAAGGCTGGCAAATACTAGCACTAACACTCACACAGACAAACTCATCTGCAATTTGAGCAACATGTCAAAGCAAACAAACAACAACGTTGACACTGTGTCTATGGGAAAACTACTCGAGGGGTTGGGAAAATTAAGGGGATGCGGAGTGCCTGACGCATTTGTATTTGTTATGCTTACGCCTCGATTGTGCTGAAAAATCAACAAGCCCATCGATGGACTATTCATTGACGTCTAAGCGCCGAATGGGTGTGTATTTTAATTAAACCTGTTTTTCGAAGGCATTTATCAGATGCAGACAGGACGTGCACCTCGACGCACCCACCACACCCAGCACTATCAGGTGCTAAAAATAAAACTAGACACTGCTAACGGGGAAAAAAGGAACACGGTGAAAAATCATCATCAAATCTACGATACACGTTCTAACCGAGTTGAACGAAAAGTCGATGAGAAATCGAAGGGGTTATGTCCTAGTAAATGAGGAATATTAATTACCCGAAAGTATCAGATATGAAAAATTATTAATCCAGGAAAATATTTAAGATAACAAAATATTCGATTAGCCTTAGTTATTTTTCTGTGTGCAGCCAACAGACATCCTAGCTAGAAGCTAACATGTTTTACTGTTAATGGACTTTCGATATTTGCAGGAAGTTATGGCAGCTTGATTTATGTCCATGCATTTTACCTTCGGTTTGCCGACCAGCAGGTAAAGTCGTTTAATTATTGAACAAGAGAGGCTGCTAACCAAATGCTTGTCTGGCAATCAAATTTGAAATAGTCTGGCATAAAGAATGTAAGCAGATTTCGATTGGCATTCCGCCATTGCTATTACTTACTAACATCAAATAAAACTTGAGTTTATAGCTTGGGACATAAAGTTGGGCAAATTGAGGGATGGTTGGAGGAATCGAAAAAACACAGAAATCAAAGTAAGCACCTAAGCAGCTTATGCAAAAGACAATCGACTACCTCATCTCCGGCCGACTTCTATATCCTTTTCGAATTTTATTCTTATTTTACAATGCCAATAGGCAAAAAGTGTTAAACAAAATTTGCGTCTGGCGTTTATTGAGTGGAACGAACGCCTCAGTTCGAGCTGAATGGAAAATGTAAAAATATAACCAGGCGAGATGGGGGTGTAAAAGCAAAAGTTTAAATTACTTTCTAGTAAAACTTTGAACCGAGACAAAAAAAAAATGGGCTAAAAGAAGAATGCAAGCCAGATTAATGCTTAAAGCGAAAAGGGTAAAATGCTGAATGGTTAAATAACTAATGCATGGCCAATGAACTTGCCGAACAAAAGTTTTTTGTATTTATCTTTTTACACCCTGTTCCCCAGCCTTAGTTTTCTTCTACCTATTTTATGTTAAATGCTCTTAAATCTTTTCGAATAATTTGGTGACAATTGCTTTTTAAACATTTTTTAAATTCAACGTTTGGATGTTAAAAATTATTTTATTGATACATTTTTCATTTTGTTATGAAAAGTTACATAGTTTTTTATTGCAGTTTTATTTCAAAAATTAATAAACCCTTATTACAAATAAAAATTATAAATTTATACAAAGAATTCCGAATTTCGTGTCCTCAAATTATTCTTAATTTCTAAAATTGTTGTTTGTTTTCGAAAATCGCATATTCGATTTATCATAATTGTACAATTCATATTTCATTCAAACTATAGTCAATACTAAAAACTAAATATATGCCTTTCAAATTAATTGTAGGTGGGGGCCCGATCAATGGACGCTGCTTCTAGAATAACCTTCATGATCTTGTCCTTGGCGAATTCCGAGGCGTCCGCGTTCAACTGGCGGAGTCGGTCGGCCACAAAGTCGCCGAAAATCTGGGAACTATCCTTTTGAGTACGAAGGGCATTGGCTACCGCCTTGTTAACCATGTCCTCATCCATGATGTTAATGGTGGACACCTCTCCCTCGCCTTCAACTTCGTCCTCCAGTCGCTGCTCACCGCCACCAGTCAAGGAGCAATTCGAGAACATGACCTGCTCCGGTTCATATAAGGCCAAATTCTCAATGATCTGCTCGTAGTCAACGGATTGGTCCGAGGAACCCAATTTCTCCTTCTTGACCGTCGGCGTTTTGGGCTGGGCCTTCGTTTTGGCTTTGTAAGGAGTGGCGTTGGAACTGCTTGCAGATGACCTATTCAGGTGACTGTCGTCCGCGGGTTTCTGGGAAAGTAATAGTTCCAAATTTTACTGGGATTTTGTACAAACCATGCTTATGGTCTTACCAGATGAGGTTTGAGATCTAAGTGCTTCATATGCTTTTTAGTCGCTGCATGGGCACGCAGATCGCTGATTTTTGTATTAACGCAGCACTTGCAGAAGCGGCAATGCGCGCGATAAGAGTCGTCCGGATCCCGGCGCAACCACGCTCGGAACTCCTCCATTTGCAGCCATACGTCGCGTAGTTTCTGCTTGTAAATTTTCATATTTCACAGTATTTAAAGGCAATAAACGAAACGAAAAGTAATTAAATCGGAACGCACAGCAACAATGTGAATGCAATAGTGATGACAATAACAATGAGCATAGAGACGCCTGCCGCCAGTGTTGCCAGTTTGCTGGCAGAAAAAAAGCTGTTTCTAGCGGTACAGAAAATAAAGCTACTTTACGCAAGGCGAAAAAAGCTTTAAAAAAGCTAAAACGTCACTGTGCGCCTGTGCGCTTTCGAAGTTACTTGTTTTATATCTCCCTTGGAAAGTTGCTTTAATTGAGTTTATAATTTATTTATTTATTGTAACCAAAGTACATATATTCTACTTTTTTATTTGTAATTTTTTATTTAATTTATTTCAAATATATTTATGTAATTACTATTAACAAATATTAGGAGCTTATAAAATGTATAATTCGCTTGATATATATGGGTTTGGACTGGAAAATAGCTGATCTGGCAACACTGATCTGGTTTCTCTAAATATCGCTAGAATACCAACTATCGGTTACCGTGACAAACCTATCGTAGATCACGAAAGATCAGGACTTATCGATAACACATTAAATATCAGTTGGGCTATAAGCCGCGAATATTTTTGATTTTTGAATTAGCAAATCCCAGCATTATACAAATTTATTTATTTAGTTTATATTACTTATTTATTTTTTATTAGCAATATTGTAATAATTTAATACTGAACTACTTAAAATAAGTTCGTTTAAATGATTTATTTTGTTACAACACCCATGAATGTGTATTTTTATTTAGTTAATCGAACTTTCCCGCCATGGAATTATTTTTGCAAATCACCAAATGGTCCGAACTTTGCTCATCTGCCTATATCAAAGCCCGCAAAGGGATGTCCTTTGTAGTGGGCCTTGCGGGCATTGGCAAAGGACTGTCGAGCTGGCAGACAAACAAAACTCAACCGCAGACAGCCCACTCAAATGGAGTTGGCTCCTTTAAAAGTTCATTCGTTTGTAAATAATTTTTAGCCGGCGGCAAAATCGATACTTCGCTTAAGATTTTTGCATCCATACATATACATATAGTGCAGAGCGAACATCGCAGGGCTCTGAAAATTTTGTCAAGCTGCGCAAAACTTTCAACGGCAGCCGTCGAGCAAAGTTATATGAGCAGCGTATGCCGATAATCCATAAGAGAAAAGTCGGTGGGCCAACGGCATAAGCCAAATGGTGAAGTTTTGCTATTAAAGTTTTTCATCAGCGCCTATTTGCCGAGCTCTCGAAACTTGGCCCTAAACCCCTTCTTGGTGTTTTTGGGCGAAGGGCAAATATTTGTCAGGCAATTAAATGTTTACTGTTTTTATTATATGCTTTTGTTTGCTCTACCCTTCTGTGCATTTTTATTGTGACAAAGGGTGGCAAGAGAATGGGTTGTAGTCTGCTCTTCCGGTTAAAATTAATCATACGCCCGGTTGCCGCAAGGCAAACAATTCGCCGAAAGCAAAAAGGGACCAGCTAAACCGCAGCTTAATGTGCACCTTGCAACGATTATGCGGTGTATATGTATATTAAGTTCAGGAAAATGGTGTACAACACTTCGTAGGGATGAAAACTTAAGGAAATTTTGAACATTAACGCGAGCAAAGACTTTAAACCTTAAGCTAAATAATTATACCATGTTATATTTTGTTTCGGATATTCTTAAAATGATTTTAAAACTTTTTTTTGAAAAGAACAGAATGATCACCTCTGCAAAATTGATTTCATTTAAAAAATATTTTACTCGTTAAATTTTACTTAAATAATTGTCAATCATTGTAACTTTTCAGACTTTAAAAGCCAGACGGATATATTTTTAAACCTATTTGTTACCCACGTAGCCATAATTATTTCGATTCAATTAATATACCATAACCATGGCCATTCATTGGACGGTAATGCGATTTGCTGGCCAACATTTGAAGCGATTCGGCGACGCGGATCAGCATATTATTGCCACTCATTCCAGCGGGCTCAAGTAAGCTTCACAACAGCCAACCAGTCTCGATTTCACTGTATATGCATGCAAATTAATTAACAACACTCGTTGGGGCCGTAGTAAATTAATAATTTAGCCAGACATTACGCATACGACGCATCGGCTGAGTGGCAGTAAAAAGCTGTCCAAAAATGACGCGGAGATGGGCCAAGAGTCATTTTAATTACCACATAACAAGGCAGCGGGCCACAAATGGCAACTGGGAAATGTGGAAATGCGAAATGCCAGGGCAGTGGTGTGGGTGAGCGGAAAATGGAGAAGGGAAACCATGTCACGCTAAATGGGAAATGTTGCGAATACGACCTGAGGGCACAAGTGCCTGTGAGCTTGGGTTTGAGTGTGAGTGGTGTGTGCGTTTTATGACATTGCCAATTTACAAAATTTCATAAATATAAATTGGTTTTAAATGTTAAAATAAAACAATTAAAATTGCTGTTGGTGAGTAGCAAAGTGAGCCGCGCCATTCTCCATGGATAATATTCACGAATTTGGTAAACATTCGAGGAACCCTGAATAATTTAGCCGGAATTATGATTGCATTTCCCACGAGAGGGAGTTGAGTGCAAATCGGAAATTAGGCAAACACAAGCCATTCACATTTACATTGAACTTTTAGCCAAATCACAACCGGCAAAATGGCTCAATTCAATCGACGCAAACAACAAATTTATTTAGCTATCAACCATTTAATTTTTTTTTCGTGGACAGCTCTGAAAATTGTTTATGGTTGTTACTGTTCTTGAACATTTCATTGGTTGGCGATAAAACAGCATGACAAATGAATGGAATTCGTTGGCAATTTTCGTTTTCACTGCCCCCATAAATTTGGCACTAATAAAACTGCGGAAAAGTGTGCTACAAAAAAGCAATTGGAAAGGCATCAAATTCGAGTGCAATAAATACGACTTTAATAATACAGCGTACGTTCTTTTCCCTTTTTTTTCTTTGTAAGTAATCAGCAATCAATGTGAAGTTCTTGAAGCTCAGATGAAATCTTTGACTTTAAGTCAGAGCTATTAAATGGCGGAGCATAGCTAACAAATCGATATTTAATGACAAAGCTTAGTCACACCCACGCACACCCAGCAACACTCCCCCTCACACACTAACACTTGCACACTCAAACAAAGCAAGCACATACATCATTGTCAATGTCAAAGTGTCAAAGCAAACTTGCAGTGCACAAAGCTAACGGCGCATAGTTATTACACCGAAAGAAATTCAAATCGGGTTAGAGCTGCAGTCTAATTTATCTTATATATTCGGAAATTGATATTGGGTTCTGATATTACGCATCAAAACATAGTCAATTCTATAATTATTAGACAGATTATATATATATCAGTATATCAGTCTAATCTTTTAATAAAATAATAACCAAAAATAAGAAAATCTGTTGGGTGTTTCCCTAAATGAAATTGTTCTCACTGTACTTCGTAGCTCTCAATCCTTAGCTTTTAGAATCATCAGATCGGGCCGACCCAAGTCAAGTGCAATAAACCCTCGAACCGACTGGAGAGTTTTGCATTTCAGCCACGCCCACATAATGCCTAGCCTCTTTTAGCCCGCAGTTATGATGTTGCTGTAAGCAGCAAGTAAACTGCAATTTGCGCACAAAAACTTTGCTTGCGACAAACTTTCCGCCCATACATATGTCCCTCTCTCTGGCTCCCTCTGTTTTACTCTCTTACTCACTCTCTTTTGTTTGTATCTCCCTCACTCCGCTGTTAGCAAACGGGCAACAATTTGAACTGACAAAGTCCGGCGATAAAAAAAATGTTTAAGTACTTTAGTTGCGCTCCGAATGCATCGCACAAAAGTTTATTAAACAAACAGGTAACGATAAAACTGAATGGCAGTGGTAAAAAGTGGGGGAAAACAAGGATGATTTACTCGTCGTGCTTTTCTTTTTAACAGATGTTTCAATGAATAACAAATTTATAGTTTTCGATGTTGTGCGGGTCACCAATGGTTCTTAAATAACAAAAGGGAAAAACAAGGGAGTTAAAAATATGAGCACGGCACTAAAAGTGAAAATTTGTAAATTTCAAAGGTAAAAATGTTGTTTCTATAATGCTTTAGGTTTATTTTAGGGGATAAGAACTAATATTAATTTGAAGGTATACAAAAACAAAACAAGCTTGTCTACCTGTAAAGAAAAGTTTCCTAAGACCTTGCTTTTCGAAGATTATCCCACGGAGTCATTGAAAAGCCCCCAACAATCGGGTGTCAAATTGACGAGTAGCTTGTCTAGCAATAACCTCCTTGCCCACTCACCACTAACAATGTACAGTCATCGCTGTCGTCCTTCGTCTTTCACCCCTCAGTCGCCACGCCCACACCGCTAGTGCCCCGCCCACCAATTGTATGTACGCCGCTCGCATAATCAATTATGCGTCTGCAGTGCGTCCAAAGTTCCCTCTAAACTTGGCAATTTATTTGCACCGGAAACTCAACATAAATCAAACTAATTTCTCCTGGGATTTTTCAGCACAACTTCTACCGTGTCCCATTCGCCCTATCTCCTTCCCACTCGTACTGTTGTTTTTGGTCACGTGTTTAGCTGCGTGCGAGGGAGCGAGATGGTGCGATGGGGAGGTGTAGCAAATTGAATTTGTCGCGCTGTGTTGCATAATTTGAGGCGCATTGTGCGTCTAATTGGCCATCCCAAGGATAGCAAAAGGAAAAAGTGAAAGCCCCGAAGACATGCGGGAAGTTCGAAGGATGTTCTGATTAGACAGGTTTTGTTCTATATTACCAAAGGTATTCTATACTAATTGTGTGTGGGCTGTTCCTATTCAACTGAACCACATTGTACCTTTGCCGCTTGTTGATTTCGGTATTCGTGGGGCATCACTCATCTGCGTCATTTTCGTTGTCACTGCCAGAGGAAATGATTTACAGGATTTCGGGAATAAAACGGTAAGACAGGGGAGAAGTTTCATTTCATCTAAGATATATTTTAGATGTTTTATTTATATCCCCCAAGCTGGTTTAATAACAGCTTTTTCGAATGTTTTATGATATTACCGTTGTAGTAAACGAATTTTTAGTCTTTAAATTGGTATTGTTTTATAGCCAACCTTATGTATACAACTTAAAATATTTATTTAAAAAAAAAATAATACAAACTGTAGGATGTCTAACTTTTTCCAACCAGTTGCCTTTCAAAAAAATACTTATTTCTTTTACAAAAATCGATCGAAATTCTAGTAATCCCAAAATGGAAAAAACAACCACAGACAAAACGGGCCGTGGCATGGAATTGCCTATGGAACCTAAGCTAAAAGAAGTCGATTTGAATCATTTTCGTATGAACTACGAGATGCCAGCATTTATGGAAAACTATACTTTGCCCAAGAAAAGAAACGTCTTGGCAGACCTAAAGAAATTTTGGCTTGAGAGCAACTATCACGATTTCACAATCCGAATCGGAGAACATGTTTTCCCCTGCGATCGGATAGTCCTAATGGCCTATGTAGATCTAGTTAGGAAAGATAAGACTAAATCAGAGCTACGATTGCCAGAGAATTCGGTTAGACCGGAAATCTTTCCTATTCTATATAGATGGATGATTGATCAGGAATTGATGGTGAAGCGTTCAGAAGTCGCTAGACTCCTAATGGCTGTTGATTATCTCAAAATCGATCTATTGTCCGAACAGATATGGCGTTGCTTAGATCGGGGTACAGGTAGTGGTGAACAAATGGCTATTCAGTTGGCCCAGGATGCACTGGCCTTTAAGGATCTAACTCATTTGCATTATCTTATGCTGCATAGGATTAGCTATTACTTTCTAATCTTTGCATCCTCTGCTGAGTTCCTCGATTTGTCTGCCCATAGTCTGGCCACTCTGTTCTCATCGAGCAACATAAGGGTTAACACAGAGGCGGAGGTTTTTTATGCCGCCATCCGTTGGCTAACTTACGAGTGGCCCACTCGTCAAACCTATGCGGCGGAGGTGATGAAAAAGGTGCGAGCCGCCAGGATGCCAACTGAACTACTCCTAAAGCTTGAGTCACCGGTGGACGACATACGAGTGGATCGCGTCCTTGGGCTGCCGGATGTGAAACGTCGGATTAAAAAGGGCAGGTGGGTACACCGGTTGAAAATTGTTTTCTACTCCCCTTATTGTTTAGAGTAATATTTCCGAGACTTACATCATCCCTTATCTGACAGAATAACTACTCTTGCCGTCCTAAATCTTCCTTAAAATACCAACACTTAACTATTTGTTCTCAGTGCATCATATGTTAATTTCTCTTACGCCCAATTAACTGCCGTATCTCCTCATTAGCTTCGACCAAAAGGCAATGGATTTTGACGACGGAACGAGGCTGTACCAGGAGATTTATGAGATCTTTGACGTGGACTTGTCCAAACCACGGCTATTCATCTGTCACAATATGGCACCTTACCACGAACCGAAGCCCAATTCACCTGACCAGGTGTTCAGCTACGCGGACTTCCTCAACTACCTTTCCGCCCTGCAGTCAGTGCCCTTGGACACCTTGCAGCTCCTCGAAAAGCCTCAATGACGGACCAAATGGCATCGAACCCACCAAAACTCGTTCCTTCATCTACTCTTTCTCCTCTAATGGCCGACGACCTTGATGATGATGATGATGATGCGGCTGTGCAAGATGACAGAGATCGTGCTGTGTGGCAGTTACACCAAATTTGCATTACCTGGGCAGGTGTGTTCCTGCCGCTACTTCTTCGACGTATTTAATGCCAGTCGCGTTTTTCACGAGAGCAGATTGAAAAGTTTGTGAAGTATAAATGTTTCGAAGCTCATTTACCTTAAAAACTAGGAAATATTTTACAACCTTTTGTAATTACTCTATTTTTGTATGAGACAAAAATAGTACAAATAATATTAAATTTTCAAACTTTATTGTGTTTAAAAAGTTTTTGCTTTTAAAAAGTAGTAAAAACTTATTTATTAAACTATTTTACTACCCCTCTAAATATCACTTAAAAAATTGAAAATTTTACTAAAAAATAGTTTTATCCTACCCCTGGAAGCCAAACATTTAACAAGCGCACTTCGCAATCTTCTTAAACTATGCAATAGGGCAGAGGCTTACGTCAAAGGGGTTACATTATCGAGCATTTTCATACAACATAACTAACTTTAAGGAAAATTCGTTTAGAAAATATTCGTTTGGCAAATCAAAGCTTAAAGCTCAAGATGCCTACAAAATCTAAAGTGCTCTTTGTATCCGCAACCCTGTTTTCCATCTTATTACACTTCCCCAGTGATTTTCGAAACAATTTCCTCATCAGCGGTAACTGTGAACCACATTTCCAGCATCGTCGTCATCCTGGCCACATCACCTTGTTTTGGTTTGGAATGCTCGCGGCACTGCTTTTGAGCTTTACACACATACATACCTGCCACCTTTCCCACCCACACACAGCCGCACACCTGTCGTCGCTGGGAAATTGAAAATGTTTGTTGCTGCGGCAAGAGTCTGCAAAGTTGGCAAATCGAGATTGCAGTTTGCTGTGACGATGATGTTTACGAGGGCGATATTCCCGGCTAATAACTGCAAGCTTCAAGCTTCCCAAAAGAAACATTTGCATAATTAACAATGTCGTTGAGGAATGAATGCTTGGCAATCCGCTTAAGCAGTTTGAAAAAAAAATTATTACTAAATGAAAACTACTAAAAAAAATGCAGGGAAATACAATTTCCTAATGTGCTCAACACGTTGAGGTTTTGAGAAGAGAACAGGTGTGTGTTCATGTGTGTGCAACCTGTTATTAAAATCATAAATCTGCATTAAGCGCGTCTCTGTGTGTGAGTGGCAAACAAAACGGCTTTATCAGCTAGGCAACGACGCATTTTTCATACATTTTTTCCTCCCAAAACATAAATTTATTTTAGGGGCTCATTCGTCTCTTTTTTTTAATAAACTCTCGCTGAATTTTCTCCCCATCCTAAGCTTCGCGCAGGGCTTATATCCTGAAAGGAGTCCTTTAATTCATTTTCCATACACTCTCTCACACACACACACACACAGAGACTAAAAAAACAGCGGAAAATGATTAAAAACCACTTTAATATATCTTCTTTGTCACTTTAGCTGGCTGTGAAGGAGAATAGGATGTGGTAGAGCAGGCTTACGAAAAGCCCTTGTTGACTGACAGGGGAGGCTTTAAATTTTGCTTCTCGGGTACTTGCTAAAAGAAGGGTTAAGAAGTGTCTCAAAAATAAATTATTTTTAGTTAAAGGAAATTCAGTTTTGCTTCATTTTTTAGTATTTTATTTTTACTTCTTAGTTAACCTTTGCTAGGATTGAATGGCGAGGGATTAAAATCAAAGGGATTACGTCCTGGCGGTGGTGGCGGTCTCCAAACTCTTGCCTCACAGTAAAAAACTCCCAATAAAGCCATATATATGACTAAGAGCAGCGAAAACTGTAGACTTTTCATGTTTCAGATCAACTAAATTCGATTGCTAAAAACAATCCGTATTTATAGGCGAGCTTATAGATCGGAAGATGGGAACCCCAGTTGATGACTTCAGAAGCTTATCAATAAAAATACAGAGGGGACTTTTTTTAAATGTTCTTTCCCAAATAGGGAATCTTTTCGTCAGACTTTTAAATAGGTCAAAATTAATTAAAAAGATTATGTAGATGCTATCAGCCAAACGCACACATAATTCGTGCTGGACCTGTTCCACCGGCTGTTCGATATACGATATATCGATATTCGTAGGGCTGCCAACTGACGTGCATACCTTCACCTTACATACATATTTACATATGCATATGTTTGTTTTGAATATTTAAAAAGATTGCATAGAAAATATCAAACAAATATAGTTATGTTAGCATCCACTAGGAGATAATTCGTTAAGTTATATATCAATACTAGATTTCTCTCAGTTATTATCAAAATATAGACTAGTACTGACTAGTAGTCTGTATACCAGTATAACTTGATAATGGAGGTATTAAATTACCCTTCAAACCATTTCCAAGTATGAATGTAAATACGATTGGTAAACAGAAGCCTCTATCATTTACTATTTGGGTGATATTCAATAGAAGAAATTGAATACGAACAATAGAAAACCCCCACTCTGCAATATATGCATAATTGGCCAAACTTAAGCTGCCCTATTAACGTGTCAGTGAAAATTAGGCAGTGAAAACTAGCTGGCCAACTTATATGGTAGCTATCGATTTTGTAGTTGCTCATTTTGTGGGAAACACAATAAGAGCCGAAAGAGTGAAGGATGAAACAGACACAATAACAGGAAAAAAAAGTTCAAAATTACAACGCATAGTTGCGGTCAATTGTTAGTGCAAAATACCCCAAACAATTAGAAACCACAATTGCTGTTCTGGCCAAGGGAGAACTTTTCATTTTTCCCGGCAGGAGTGCAGCCTGCAGTTTCCTCTTTTCCTTCTCCTCCTATTTTCTCCCCTCCTGGGTGCTTCATCTGGAAATGCATTCTGAGGTTAATGCTCCAAGCCAAACGAAGGGAAGCGAACATTGAGGCACCACCACCCAACACCGTCAGCTCTTCCCAAAACTTAACCCACCACTTTAGCCCCAGAGTTCGGTTTATAAACTTGCCCGGGCATTTCTGTCCTGACAGTACATTTGGCAAATTTTCTTTCTCCTCAGAGCTCAACTTTTCTGCAGCTCCAGCTGCAGTTTTCCACTTTCCACTGCCACTTGCCACACACCGCTCCTTGGCCTCTGTCCCTCTGTCAAGTGAGGCGGACATAATGCGATTTTAATACAGATTTCGCCCGACTCCCTCCAGTATTGGCCGTTTTTGCCCCCTCCGGAAGACTGAAGTCTGTCATGTTGCATGACAGTCCCCATAGAGGAGCAAAATACACTCGTATATGTAATTTATAAGCCCTTAACTGTTTATTTGCTGGCCAAAAACCTTCCACTGACGTGTACCACATTTCGGTCCAATCGTTTGATAACTGCGTATCCTCCTGGCAGGGCACTTAAGCCGCTTACCGCTTTTGCTCATTTCCCGAAAGTTTTCCCCAGGACTTCTGTGCAATTGAATAATTAGTTGGTAGATTTGAAAATTAAATGAGTTGTGGATTGGCAAGGAAGTATGAATTTTACGAGCTACTACAATGGACATCTGGCCAAGTTAATTAGGTTCTATTTGGGTTATTAATGGATGACAAAAGTTGCAACTGCAGAGGATTAAATTTAATTTATATGAAGGATAATACTACAATAACTTCTCTTTGAAAAGTCCTTTGATATGATTAGAAAGTAGTGCATGAGCTAATTGTTGTTAAGATCTTTACTGATAGCTTTATAATTCAACTTTTAATTTAAACAACTTTTTAACAGGATTAAATCGATCTTAAGATCTTAACCAAATTAGCAACGAAAGACAAATTCCAAATCCTTTGGATTTTCAGAACCAGAAACCCTCTCTCAAAAGTAAATCCCATGCTAGTTGGCCCACTTTTTGCTGGCTTTACCAAAAATTGCTGTGGTACTTCACCTTCAACTCTTTAGCTTTTGTTTTTTAGTGTGTCGACGGCGGCTGAGCACTTTAGCACACCCAAAGCCGAACACAAACGCCAACGGTTTTTTTGGTTGGTGGATGGATGGTTGGGTGGTTGGCTGGTTGCTCTGCACTTGTGGGTGCTTCATGCTTTTACAATCCTATTAAAGTATCAGACAATCTAATCAACGGCAGGCGGCAGCTCAAAAACCGCGCGTCCTGCACACGCGCTAAACGTTGCCAAAAAGCGACGACCGCAGACAGGACGAAAGCTCAGCTTGCTGGGAGGTAAAGTGGGGTATGGGTATGGTTGTGGGTGATGGGTATAGGATGGTGGGTAGATCCGCAATTGCTGACGCCATGGCTGCTTGTTGACAGCCCCTCCACATCTCCTCGAATCCCTAAGCATTCGGTCTACAACTAAACACGCAGATAGACAAGCAGATAGCAACAACAGCAATCACAAGAATGCCAACAATGGCACCAAACAACAATCGCATTACAAGGCAAAATGTCCAGTAAAACAGGCAGAGGCAGAGTCGACTATTTGATGGCTTTTGGGTGGCTGGCAGCCAAGGAAAGATGTAGGGAAGATGGTTCCCACTTTCTCGGCCAGATCAGACATCGTGAGAGCTGAGTTTGACCATGTGAAGAGTATGTATCAGGGATATATAGGAAATCTTGATGCATGATCATTATCTTACTTTCTTAAATAAGTAATAAGTTTAGTATAACTATTAATTTCATATATTTTTATTAAATATATAAATTATATTCATGGTTTTATTCATATTTCCTATTTTAATTCTCTCATTTACGTTATTAAAAAACCCCTTAAAATTGAATTTAAAAATCTCTAAAATCATATGCGTAAACCAGCTGACCCTTCGGATTTTTCCCATCTCACGCAGCCATCTCCGGGCGTGACTGTTGCCGTCGGAGTCGCATTGTTGGTTCGGTCTGCGTCAGTTTAATTTGAATACACTTAAGTGTGTTGCGGTGTGCCTGGGAGCCGTTACGAGAATTTCCAATTGAAAATCACTTCAAGTTTAATTTGATTGCCGCTCCGGCAGCCGAGAGAAGTGGTTAGCCCTACCCCTCCCTCTCTCTCTGTGTCTCTGCCTCTGTCTCCGTTTCTCGGAACCCATCTTCGTCCGAGTCCCATTGCCATTCCATTCTCTTTAGATTGTCTCTCGATTTTAATCACATTTCGGGTCCCCGACATTAATATTGATGAAAACTTGTTATGTTCTGCATAATTTCTGAGGCATCAGTGAAAACAGCAACATGTTTCAAGTCCCCTGGCCAAATAATGGGGGATATACTCGTACTCGAGTTTCCTTAAGTTTCGGTCGGTGAAGTTTCATTACTTGATTATTTCTGCGTTTGGGAGTGTTTGGGGGGAGGTGGCAGAATGAAAAGGAGCTGAAAAAAATGCACGAAACGAACGAAATTAAATCTCTCCAGGAGGCAAAGTCAACGAAAAAGGGGCAAATGGAATGCGCCACGCAGACGAAACGAGTCCGAGGGCTGAGAATGTAATGCAATCAAGAAGTCAGAAAGGAGAGACTTCAAAAAATCAGTTCACAAAGAATGCGGAATACTCTGTAGACGTTTCGGTCTGCCTTAGCCAAGAACTTAAATTGAATTTTTCAGACTTTGGTTCGGGCAATAACAAAGGCTTAACACTTTATTAACTTAATGCCCCCATCCATCTTCGATGGTAGATGACCCCTGACAACAAAGTATAGAGGAGAGTATACACCTACGTGCCCGGTCATAATCATCTTTCCGCCACAACGATGATGAACCCATTATACCGCCCACGGTACACATTCCAGGTGAGGGTAAAAAGAAGCAACAAAAATTGGATTTTCATTATTTACAGCATATTACACACACATCCTCGTGGTCCTGCTGCCTGCTGCCTGTTGGGTATCGTGTATCGATAGGCATATGTACCTATATATGCATCAAGTAGGTGGGCTAGCTTTTATTCGCCTGCAACGTGGCGTATACGTAACAAGCAAATAGAAAAAGAAGGCCCAGGATGTGAGTGAGATAGACGTATAGACAGGCAGACAGACAGACAGGCTGACAGGATGGACCCTTTGGGCTAGGAAATTAATTAAATTAAGTCAACGAAAAGTGAAACGCCAGACGCACATAGTCCCTGGATCTCCACACACACACCCACTTGTGCATTTCCTGTTATCCTGCGAACGGGGGAAGCCTTTGCCCGCAGGACACAGTCTTTGACATTCATCGCTCTCTCTCTCTCTCTCTCCCCATCCACTCATCACTTTCAGTTGTGATGCTTTCCGCCATCCGCGATAAGCTCGCTTCGTTATAATCCTAATTAAATATTTAGGTTTACTCTATGGCTGTATTTACTCAGTCCCCTCCTCCCTCTCCTCTCCTCTCGCTTTCATGTCCTGTTTTCTGTTTTGGCCCTGCTTGCTCGTCTTTATCTGATAAGCCCTTCGCTGGCTGGGCAAGGGTTAATTGCATTAGAGTTATGACAATTGCCAGCAAATTTGAGTTGGCAACGAAAAAAAATGCAAAGCAAATAAGAAATGTGATTGCGAAAACAAACTCAAATACAGAACGAGAGACTAATTAGATAAGACTTGCCTCGCGAGCTGAAAATATTGAGAAGCGCGGAGGGAGGCCCTCTTCGGGGTACAGTTGAGCATGCAAAACTAACTAAGTGTTTAAATTGAACTATTTTTCAGTGTAAAACCTTCTAGAAAAAAGTACAAAATTTTTCTATAATTTTTCTTTATTTTTTTCCACACTCTACCACTTTTTGTCTAGACAGGATCAAATACTTAACCAATGTAAGGGAAAGGCCCTGAAACCTAAAAAATGCTATCTGTTCCAACATTTTCCACTCCATCCAAATCTTCTGGCCCACACCATTTTCTTGACCGTCTGACGTTTGCCGGCGCAGTTGAGACAGGGCGCAATTTGTTTTAATCAACAAAGTCAAAAAAGGGGCACGTAGATCTCCATTCTGTGAGAAATTAAATAAACTTTGTGTTGGCCAAACAATTTGCCCATCGTCCGCCTCCGAAGCGTCTGCGGTTTTTGATCGCCCCACCAAGAAGCGAGGAGCATACACAAAAACGCTGACAGGCGATGGTCCACGACGAAGGACCTTTCGCCAAGGACTAGAACGTGACTGTTCGGCGCGGATAAAGGGATGCAGCATGCAATCCTTTAAAGCGGTTTAATAATGCACCGAGGTTTAAGTTCCGGAGAAGGACATTAATTTTCTTGAGCACACAAATTTGTCATAATGAAGTCGAATTCTTGGCCAGCTCGATTAGCCAAAGTGCCGTGCCCATGGTCCTTGGAATAATAACAACAATACGTTCGACAGATAAATGAAAATTCCAAGAGAAGAACATAAATTATTTCAAAGGCCCTGATTTATTGGCTGACCACAAGAAAATCCACAAACAAACCAAAGGAGATTTGGAAAAGAAATACGCTTTGGCAGACGTCTTTGGAGTTTTCTTTTTAGACAAAAAAAAATGTGTATTTTGGTCAGTTCTTTGGTTTAAAATGATTTTTATATTTTTCGTTATTTTGGTTAGGGCATTATTATTTCGCTTTCGCTACTTTGATCTGTTGCCGTATTTATTGTGCGTCCATTGTGTGTTATCAATAAAGCAAATTGAATTTGCTGCGGTGAAAAAAGTGCCACTGAGGTCGATCAAGATAAATGTCAGCGGGAGAGCGATGTGGGCCAAGAAAATGGGAAATTGCCTCGAAGACAGTTCAAGCTCCGGGCAATTGTTTGCCATTGTTTGTGATGGTTTGTTTTGTGAGTTTCTTTCTTACTTCTTGGTGGGTTTAGATTTGAAATGTTTGGGTTAAATGAATCTCCACGGATTGTTTTGTCTTTTGGCCCAGCCCCCCAAACAATGATAAATGTAAGAGGTTAGCTGATGATTTAAGGATCCCATCGCCTACTCACCCGCATCGCAGGCCTTGACATGTTCATTCCCTTCACAACCTGCTTATTTATTTATCATCCTCACATACTTTGAATGTAATGAATCAAATCGAATCGAATGGAGGATCGAATAGGTTCGGTTCGAATCAACTTTGTGCGCTTCGAGGCGTAAATGTTTTATGGAATGATTTATTATTCCGGGCTCTATCTGTCTGCTGGATGGGCTGAGGAGGTTATGTGGAGCTGAGAGGCGTAGCCCTAACCCTAGGCCATAAAACATGGCCCCTTATTTGTTGAATACTTCTATGCTGGTCCTATTTGGCCCCGAAGGTCCGAAAGGAACACGTCAAATCGATTGTTAACAACCGAGCTAACAAGAACAAATGTCGTTTCGGATTGAAAAATTGTTATTTCTTTGTCAACGTGTTGTTTTCGGTTTTATTTTTTTTTGTCAGCTTTTCTTATACTTTCATTTTGGTAAGGTGAAGAAAAGCGAAGGCACTGGAGGATATAATTAATGATACTGCGGCGACAAAAAGAAATCCGAGTTTTTCTTTGTTGTCCGGAATTTAATTAGTGGTCGAACGAATCCCTTTGAACTTCGTGGTGGCGAAACTTGATTGGTACAAATTCAAATGCTTCTCTAGTCATCTCCCTCAGTGGTTTTTCCTGCCAATTCTGCCCCATCTCAGGCTCACTTGAAATTAATTACTTTGATTGCGCTGGCGTTAATTACATGCAACCATCTACCTCTTTCTCTCGCTCTCGATTGCTCTTCCTTGTTCAACAGGAAAGAGAGTGAAAAAAACAGCATCAAAATGAAATTGGGCATAAAACAATGCATTTCCGCTTTACCCCGACACATGGCTTCCTTCCGTTTCCTCTTTAGTGCCATTTTGCAAATCCCGCTTCCACAGAGTTCAATAAACACCCAGGTACTAACGTCTGGCTCGGATCAGGATAATAGGGAGGGGAGAGGAGGGTGAAAAACAAAGGAGTAGTTGTAAGCCAAAGCAAAGCAAAAAGGACATTGAAATTGTTGCCTGCTTTATGTTGTCATTCCATTAATTATCCTTCGTTATTTTAACTTTTAGCAGCACCCCACATCGCCATTGTGCACTGTCTGCACTTTACAAATGCATACTCACCTCTGCCTCTCTGTCTCCCTATCTCTCTGTCTCGCTGCCTCATAACGTTGGCCAACTCTTTTTGTCATTCATTTTTCCTCTCTCATTTTTTTTTGAATGAATGTAATTTTTTGTCAACGCCTTTTGTTTGCACATTAAATGGCATTGGCTAGCCATGTGCCATGTGCAATTGTCCTGTTTCTTCCTCCTTTTTATCCACCCCCCTTTCCTCTCTCTATGAAATTCCAATGGGCCGAATGGTCTGGGTAATGAATTACTAGCCACATGCTTTTTGTCCACCGCCCGCTGTCTCGCAACAATGACATTGCAGTTTTTAGCAATGCCTCCGCCAACGCCACCGCCGGCGGCATCAACAATTTCAGGGCCACAGTCTGGGACTAACAGGGATCCTCCATAGGATCCTACCCCAAATTGTACACCCACTTTGCACCCTGACGCAGGTCGTCTGATATTATGCGACTTTAATTGTTATATGGCCATGGCCGCTCTTTTTAAATACTTGCCATTGAAATATGGCCGAGACTCGGCTGGCCGAGCATATTAATTAAGATGGTTTCGGGATGAGAAATGCAATCTGATTAAGAGTTTTTATAAAAAATGGTTACCCATTAATACCTTATCAAATAAAAGTGTGTAGCAACATTATATAAAATGGTAAAAGGTTGATGTTGAGGTGTAATAATTTGTCTTCAATAAATGGTGTGGATTTAAAACCAAAAATTGTTGAGAATGATTTTATCATAAAACTTAAAAGCTTTCTAGAAAAATCTATAAGATTCTGGGAGCCTTTTTAACCGTCTTCATACTTATTAAACAACATTTAAAATTAAAATAAACTTGCTTTTAACTTTCATATTGATACTTCCTTCTACCTTACTTTAACACATTTTCATTGTTAAAAACATTAATATTTCTTTCTTAAGGAAAAACTTTAGAGCATAGAAACATGAAATAAAAATCACAATCATTTACTAAATTAACCATTTAAACAAAAGATTTCCCCATCCAGATTTTTAAAGCAATTGCACGAGTGCTGTGTCGACAATCCGTAGTGAAAACAAATCCGTAGCTCAAATAAAGATTTTTCACTTAAGCAGCTCTCAGGGCAAAAGGAAATTCTCCAGCGCCCCAAATGAAAAATGAGTTAAGGCCGCCAGCATTCATCAGGCCAAGTGCGGAAATGGAGGAGGTGGGGTAAAATTGTAATGGGAAAACTAAGAAAAGCGTCGAGGGCGAGAATGCCGAAGCGGAAATGTGACACGTTGTACTTGAATGCTTCGCCTGGAAAAGCGTTTCCGGTTGCCGCAAAAATTAATTTCATTAATGCACGAAACTAGAGAAGCTAACGAAGGACGAGAAGGACGAGACAGGATGACGTAGGACCATTTAGTTGATTCTCAGTTTATTCAAGGAACATCACACAAGCCCAGCAATTAATATCCTATTCAAACTGCTTCTTTAGTTTGGCCAACTGGGTGAGGAATTCATCGCGAGTGGCCCGTCTTTCATTGAGATTTTGCAAGGGCACAAGCTGCTCACACTGCCGTGCAATCTCCTCCAGGGTTACCCGATCCTCTTGAGTATTTGGGGTTTCTCCATAGGTGGCACTTACTGCGGAAATTTCCCCACCGAATCGCTGGAAATAGTCGGCCACGCCACCAGGAGCATTTAGATGGGCTGTCTCTAGGGAACCAAGCAGGGCGTATCGCAGTCCCAATCCCTGACTCAGAACTCGATCCACATCCGCCACGCTGAGTATGCCGGAACCTACCAAACGCCACACTTCATTTAGAATGGCATACTGGATCCGGTTGGTAGCAAAACCCTCAATCTCTCTCTTTAGGGTAACCGGACGTTGACCCAAGCTTAGCATGAGCGCGTGGGTTTGCTCCACGGCCTTTGGGGATGTCCAGGGAGCAGGTACAATCTCCACTAGGGGTATGAAGTACGGGGGATTTAGCGGATGGGCCACCAACATCTGTTTGGGGAAACAAATTGTATGAATCTATATTTCACGATGAGATATTCTGATTGACCCACCTGTTGCCTCCTCTTGAGTCCCTCGCTATATAGCGAAGGCATAAACGTGCTCGTGGAACTTGCCACCACCGTCTGCTCCTCCACCAACTCATCCAACTGGGAGTACAAAGACTTCTTCAGGTGCAGAATCTCTGGAACACACTCTTGTATGTGCACCGCATCTCTGGTCAGCTCCTCCAGTCTAGTCGTGACCCCGATAAGGGCAAACTGTTCCGAAGCTCTTATCTTTCCCCTCAGCGAACCCTTCTCCTCCAGACTGTGCAGATCCTTGTCTAATTCCTGCAGTGCCGTGGATAGCTGACTCTCCAGGATGTCATAAAGCTGGACACGATAGCCGGCTGCTGCAAAGAGCATGGCCCAGGCCCTGCCTATCAATCCACTGCCCACGATCCCAATCTTTTGGCTGCTCATTTTGAACTGTCATCGGCGAGCTGTATGAAGCTCTGCCTTAGCTTGCCGGATCAGAACGAGAACTGCAGATTTATCGCCAACGGTTCAAGTTCATCCAGTAATCACATAAGTCATGCGACACAATGCCTCACTATTGATAATGTATGGTTTATTATGGGACTACACTGCGGAAAAGGGTTTAGAAATGGCATCGCCTTTTTAAAATATCCACCATGGAATGAAGGAATTATGAAGGAAATTTCTTAAAGGCAATTTAACGACCTCTTGCTTCTCCTACCTTTACCACCCAAACCTTTCCACGTCCAGATATAAATACAACGCATCGAAATGTAACAAAGGCGAAGTTCTTTGAAGTCTTGACAAATTTCATAATTAATTTCGGTTTACATCCAAGGTACCAGTTCAGGGCAGTTCTGCCCATCTTCCACCTTGCTTTTTATAGTCTCATTAAATTTAATTGCTTATCAACTTTGAAGGCCCGGTAAAAGTCTGGGGCAGCCTATTAATTGATAATCCCATATTTTGTGATTTATTAAAGCTTAAGCTTTCACTTTCGGCTTACCAGGCGATAAGAATGGGTTGCTATATATAGGGGAATATACATATATATACGATTTACTGGGGGCGGGAGTGTGACATTCCTTCGCCCAGCTGACAAAAGCCTGCATGTAATACTTTTATGCATATTTCGCGCATATTTTTCTGACATTGTAAGTGGCTGAGGCTGCCAGCAATAAATTATTGAATAAGCACTGCCAACAACAACACCAACAGAAGCCGCTAGAGACAGTCGCAGAGGCGGAGAGAAATGGAGTTCTGGGTCGGAGTCTCGTTTTCATATGTAAACCACATTAATCATACGCCCCGTTTGCGTTTTCATTTACGCCACTGACATATGAAAAAAGAAAAAGAAAAACAAAATGTGAGGGAATGAATAACAACAGCAATAACAGAATAGCAGAAGAATCGGGAATCTGAATGAGAATCCGAATCAGAATCAGAATCGGAAAAGCGGTCGGTCGGGAAAACTGAATCCATATACCCCAGACGAAACTGTTAGGCAGCCGGGTTAAATCAGCCATGAAATGCCATCTACACTATGGCAAGCCATAAAAATAATATTCAACAAAGGGCCAGAAATATTTATACACATTGAGAGATTCGCATTTCACTTCATTGCATTTAAATGCTTGTTAATAAAAATGGAAAATGAAAATGGAAATGGAAATCAATGCCAGATGCAAAAGGAGAGTTGTTGAAAGCGTTTACGTTTACGTTTACGTTTACGCTCACAATGGTTGGTTTCCCCTTCCTTTGGGCCAACGAACCGATGGAGAGGAAGGAAAAGCGTACAAAAAATTAATCCCAATTTCGATACGCCAATTACACGCCATATTTTATTTATTTGCCATTTATTGATATTTATTTTGAAATGAAAAAAAGAGAACTCCGACTAGTTTTCAAGGCTATTACAAGTGTTTGATTGGCCATTTTATTGACTTTTTTAATGGTTTCTTTACCTTTTTGTATTTTTCAATATCTTACAATTGATCAACAACCAAAACTAATCTAATTAGAAACCCAGGGGACACCTTAAAGCCATTGGATTCCTCTTTTCCGTCTGCATCTACCGCCGCCAATCAAATGCGGTCAACTGTCACAGAAGCAGAAATCAAAATCACCAACAAAAAACTAAAAACAGCTGCAACAGCATCAGCAGCCGTAAAAAAAAGGCAACCTCAAAATCAATTAATTTTATTGGCCATCTTGCCTTGCCCCCTGGAAAATCCGTCCGTGTGCGGAAAACTGAAATGTCATTGTGGTGAAAAACTATTTCCCAAACAGAGTGCAATTCCCCGTTTATTTCGACCTTTTCGTGCTGTCACTTTCGGTTAGGGTATTATGGTTTAGCATCTACAACGGTTTTGTAATAAATTTAATCGGTTTGAAGCTTAATCTGATTATTTTGGAAAACATTTGTAACTAAAGGGAGAACGAAGGGAAGTGTTAAATAAAAATACTTTAACGAAAGATGTAGAGTTTAAATGTGTAAAGGTTAACTTCATAACTTGATAATAACAAATACCAAAATTTTAAAGAATATTAGTGATCTGTTTTTTATAAAAACCATACCTCTAAAGATTTTAAAACTATCAAATATACAATTATCCTAAAATCAAAAGATTAAATTACGGAAGGCGATGATAACCTACTTTTCACAGCATACTTTCAGGCAACTTCTTACAGTGGCTTCAAAACTGTACAAATTCCACTGATAACCTTGCATATTTTCCCATTTCCTTTTGAATTTAATTGAAGGGCATCGCAACTTCGTTGTGCATAAGCATAGCAATTTTCCTCTATTTTTTATATTGTTTGTCATTGGGCAGAATCTAAATCTGAGTCTATCTCGTCTGTGACATTGACAAAAGTGCAAAGGATTAAAAGTTGTACACGGGGCCGTACAAAAGCCATTGAGAGGTAACCACATAGATACTCACACTCGCACACCCTGCCTCCCTTTATGTTGTTTCTTTTTTACAGCCGCACTGAGGAATTGAAGTCACGTAGTTTGTGTGCAAATTTTTTTGCTCCTCCGTTCGTTCACAGGGGGAAATTGTTCGTGTCCGTGTTCCATGTCCGTGTTTCGGGCTCAGGCTCGGGCTCGGAGAGGTCCCTTTTTTTGATTTGGTTATGTTGCTAAATTTAATTCTTGTTTAGCCGCCGCACTCTCTGATTAAATTTTGCCCCCGACACTTACGTGATTTCAATGCGTAATTTATGCCAATAACCCATAGTAGAGGCCATATGGACTGGCCGACCCAAAAACCTGGAGTCTGACAAACTTTTAATTAGTTTAGTGTCACTCGAAAGGACCGCCTCTCCCTTTTGAATTTTGTAGGGTATTTGTTTTTGAGGAGGTGCCAAGTAGCAAACACACTCGGGGATTCAGAGATTTTGAGATCCAGAGATTGCCAGATCCTACAGATAACCGCGCTCACGTGTTAATGTCTGTTTGCTCGCCTCAAAATGCTTGAATGCCATGTGTGTCGTGTGCTTTCCTCTGGCTTAGATTCTAATCGGGCTCCGTTGCCTTGGCCACACTTGTCACCCGGCCATACAGAGATTTGTCCTTTTGGTCCTGCCAACCCCCCCCCCCTTTGGCCCCCTTGTAACCACCGCCCCGGCATTCGAAGCCCACCCCCAATTTTGCCATCCAATTAACTTGATGTCGTCGCAGTTCTTCCGCTTCGAGGTGAAAAGTTGCAGCCAAATCAAATGTGCCAAAGCGGGGAAAAGTCGCGTGACTGTCAACAAAGCGAAATCTCTGCCAGTGTATGTCCTGGAAAAAGGCGGCCAAAGTTGCCTTTGAATACTCTTAGCAGGACACAGAATGTGGCAAGTCTGCGCTCAAGTTTTGCGAGTGAAATCATCAAAGGAAATCCCTTTCTATACGATTAAATTACATGAGTAACCCAGATTTATGTATTTTAAAATCAGTTCAAGGAAAGATTAAATTGAAATATAAATTATAAAATATTTTAAATTAAAATTCCGCGAATTAACCCTCATTTCTCTTATCAAAGTACAATCTCAAACTGAATATTTCTACAAATAGGGCATACAATTTTCAATATTTTGCGGAAATAATGGCTTCTCCCTCATTTCTTTTGCTTTTGTTTGTACTTTCTGGCTCTTTGGCGTTCGTTTGCTGGCTTTCAGCCCAATTTAATAGTTTTTCGATTTGTTGAAAAGCGAATGCCAAAGCATAGAAAATAAATTGTCACAGAAATGGTGGCCAAGTTGAGCAGCTGGCCCTCCTCGCCAGTTAACCGCAAAAACCTCCGAACAGAGAGCCAGAAGAGCTCGAAGACCATAAGACATTGCCCAGGACCAAGACAGGCAGAAAGGCAAAGTTTTCTGCAAGGAGCCACTCGGAGCGAATCGTCGACAGACTCCTTGGCCTTATCTTTATCAGTTTCGGTAGTGAAAAAGCGCAGCCATGTCCTTGTCGTCACATATCGAGTGCAAAAAGTTCGACGACTTGGCAAGCGTCCGTCGACGACACCCAGTACTTCCTGCCAGCCTTTGGCAAACCACAAGAAAATACTGAGAAAAATGATAGAAAATCATTATTTTCTTAATAATTTCTGTTAAGAAAATCTTTAAAAAAAAGGAATGTGTTTCCTCTGTTGAATTCTTGGATTAAAGTATTCTTTTTTCTAAACATTTATCCATATTTTATTACCTTTAAATAAATTTCGAATAACTTGACAGGACATTTCTTTCACTACACACAAAACTACCCATCGAAAATCCTCTTTGGCTTTTGTGAAGCCTCAAGTGAAGTTGTAAATAACTTGAGCATGATGGGGAAATGGAAAATTTTCAATTGAATTCATTGCGTTTTAATTTCTTACCCCCTTGTACGCCCAAGATAATTATCAACTTAATAAAAAACCAACTAACTGTCATTTAAAATGCCCCATAAAATCGCATAAAAGCGCATAAAGTGCCTCGCACACATCGTCCTCGCCGTAGTCGTAACTTGTTGTAAATATGCTCGTGCTCGACATGCACTCAATGAATGAAATGTGTGCACAATGTTGAAAATAGTTGTGACACCGCCCCCTCCCTATTTGCCCCAAAGTGTGGGAGTCTCTTCTTAGTTGTTGTTGTTGTTGTTGTTGCTGTTCATACGGGTGGCAGAGCATGTAGATGTAGCGACTTCCGCTTATGTGGACAGCACTACAGCATGATAAATTGGTGTTTGCCGCCCTTAAAAATGCAAAGAAAAATTGGAGACACCGGAGAAAGCTGGTGGGAATGGCTATCTCGTAAAAGGAGAGGAAAGTAACCAAAAAGAAGTGTGTTCAAAAATCATGCCATAAAATACAATTTTTTCTACATATCAATATTTATACTAATAATATAAAAACTAAAAATAGCGCTCTGAAATTTAAATTTAAATTAAGTCTCATAGCAGCCAGAAGGCAACAGTAAGTGGCACAACGGAGTTGCCACATTTTTAAAAGAACTTAATCCTGTAGCGTATTACGCCAGATGTCGCCATATGAACATTATAATGACGCATAGATGGCGCCGTAAACAAATTTCGTCCAAAATGTGGAGCAGCGCCCCCCAATTTTAGTCTTTAGTTCCTCTAATTAAAAGATTAATTACATAATTACTGTTTTAATTGAATTATGTACAACCCAATATCTTGTTATTAGAAAATATTTAATAAATCTGGTTAATTATATATAAAAAACAGCATTCACTTCCCATTCAGTATCTAGTACCTTTTTCTTGTAAACCCGTGCTTTCCCAACAACAAATGATTTTTAATTTTGCTTATTTTTCCTTTATTTTAAAGACACTTATTTTTAAGAAATATTTCCTGAGACAACCTGGAAAAGATAAGAAAAAGCAATTCATTAGTAAACAACAAAAATAGGGCAAATATAAAAAAATAAATAAATATTTAATCAGTTGGGGAAATGACTTTCAAACAGCATGAAGTTTCTCAGTTAAATAACCACGGACGGCGTTTTCATCAATTAAAGTAAACAAACAAGATTTTAAAACTTTAATTACCTTTTCAAGTCAGTATGAAAGACGTCTTAAAAGAATGTGCATTACTGGTTTTATTCAGTTTATAAACCGATCTGTAAAATAAAAAAGAAATCAAGATGAGTATTTCATTTTTAGCTGTTATAAATTACATATTTGAAATGATTTTATCAGTTGGGGAAATGACTTTCAAGCAGCATGGTTGTCTCAGTCTAATAACCACGGACGGCGTTTTCATCATTTCAAACTATGAACAAATATTCTGATTAATTACCTTTTGTATAAGAAGTGAAAGGGGTGGTTCCATCCAACAATCAGGTTTTCAAGACTATAATAACCTACAAAAAAAGGAAATTCATATTAGTTAAATGATATTTAAATTATAAACAAACACATATTTGAAATAATTTATCAGTTGGGGAAAGAAGACATAAAATGTCAGCATGATTTTACTTTGTAGAAATTCCACGGACGGAAATTTTCATCATTTCAAAAATAGTTTGTAAAGATAATCAAGTCTTATTAGCATATTTACCTTTCTTATAGGAAGAAATGACATTTTCACATCTAAAGATTTCCGGAATTTCTGTAATTGAATAAATTTTTTTTTAGGAAAAACTTAAAACATGCGGAATTTACAACTTTATTGTAAAGCGTTTGATTTCAGACAGGGAAAGTGAACAGCATGGTTGTTTTAGGGTTCTACTCAGAAGAGGGAATCCTGAGATAGGAAAATATCATCATAGCAAACGCTTTTCAATCAAGAATTGTTTCAAAAAACAAAAGAAAAATAAATACAAGCTTACCATATAGTTAAACAACTGGCCAAGTTTTTAGGAAATAGCGTCAACTGCGATTCAATCTAAAATAAATAAAAGTACATTTTAACGAGTTTATCTAAAATTAATATAACCAACTAATTTAAAAGCTTTATCAGTTTCGAAAGTTGGTAACACGTTTGTTTCTAATGAACTATACTAGGTGTAACATCATTAAGTATTTTTAACTTTATAAATGAGAATAAACCACCTACCTTATATAATTGATAATCACAGGAATAAGATCCAAAGTTGGAAACGGCAGATTATCCTGTAAAAATTTAAATTATTAAAATACTAAACTTGTAATAGTTTTCAAACAATCAGCTGCTTTAGTTTTTAGTATCAGAAATATTTCTCCGCATTTTCTTCTCAGTAGAACGAAAGTTAATTAATAATGGTATTCATCAAATAAACTATTGCAGCATATTACTAAATACAATTGTAATCTTACCTTTCTTGGCTTTTAAGGTCCACCTTGTAATTATTCTCAGTAATTCTTGTAGAAGCTGTAAAGGAAAATACAAACAAGTTAGCCATACAAAGGAAAAACATGTACATAGTTTATATTATTTTTAAATTCAGTTGCAAAAATTGCAGCCATTTAGATTTAATCAAAGAAGTCGTACGGTAATTACTTTCATCAAAAAATTAAATCTAACAATACAAAAAACAGTTTCTTACCTTTTTATGATGGACGAAACTCAATCATTTTGTATTCTCTTCGCCAAGGGGAATTCCTAAAAGACAAAATATTTATTAATGAAAATACCTTATAAATCAGATTTTGATTCGGAAATTACAATCAGTTACTATAAAATAGCAGCCATTGGGTTTAATATCACGGAAATCAAACGGTAATTTCTTGTCATCAATTAATTTTATTAATTTATATACTAATATGAAACTTACCCCATATTAAAAAGTTTTAATCAAAGGAATGTAACGAGTTCCACAACAAAAATTCTGAAACTGAAGAAAACACTAGGTTAGTTAATCAACACCATTTTCTCAAAGTTAATTATTATTATTAGTTTTTCAGAATCCTTTTGGTTTAATTTTAAGTTGTGAATCAACAGCACTTTGTTCAGATTGAACTTATCATCAGGTAAGTAGTAGAAATATTAATTTTTTAGTCACATTTATCTTACCTTAATCACATTTTTCCAGATAGTTCCATCAAAATGGCGGCTACTCGGTATGCAAAGCTAAAAATAATTAAGAAAATTTGGGGTTAATGTCTTCTCCACTTTGCAGGTTAAAACAAATTATTGAATTAATCATTTCTCAGAATCCTTTTGGTTTAATTTTTAAGTTGTGAATCAACAGCACTTTGTTCAGATTGAACTTATCATCAGAAAATAAAATATGAAAACTAATTTTTGAGAGAAGAGTACATACCTATGGATGGCAATGCCGGCCGGTGCTCTCTTTTTCAGGCCACGTGTTTTCCGTATCTATAAAAATTAAGAGTTTACTTTTTGACTTGCAAATTGCATTTAAATGCATATTAGTTAATATCTTTAGTTCATCAGTTGGCCGTTCTTATTCTTTCTACAAAATAGAATGCCAAATCTTGCGAATTGGCACTCGACTCTTCAGAAAAAGAACATTCATCAAGAAACTGAGAAAACTAAGGAGAGTACTATTCTCTTACTTTTAATCCATTTATTACGTTGGCATCCGATTGGTAAATTAACTTTTCTTTGTTTTAAAACAAATCCATTTTTTGTAACTTGGCTTTGATGTAATCATTTTCAAGTTTTCTTTAACACGCACTTAACGGTACGAAGTTTTTTAAAATAAGAGAATATTATAAGGTTTTCACGTTGCTTTTATAGATTCTTGCGGTTTTAGCGTGACCAAAGGATGTAGGCCACTTTTTCCACATGTTATCGAAATGTTATTCAATCATTTGTGGCGTTGCCATATATAAATTCATTCGATTACATAATACCTTAACAAAAAATTAAAAACAATTTAAAAATTATACTTCCATAGTACAAATAATAAAATAAACCTAAATTTATATTCAATTTTATTTAAATAATATCCCATACAATATATATAAAGAATATTAAATCCGTGTAAACTGAACAAAAATTTAATTAGATCCACTTTTTAACATAGCAGAGCTGTCTTGGAAAAACATTTTAAAAAAGGTAATCCAAATTTCTTTCACGTAATTTAAAAATTGATTAAAATTTTTAAAAATGTTGTTTATATGGTATTCGTTTTCTGTGTCATTAGTAATCACAATATATGGACCAATTCACTAAAATTTTAGTTGTTAGCGAAAGAACACTGTATTTGCTCTTCCTCTTACCAAATTTGTTTACAGTTGGTCTTTCCAGATAAATAAAGGTTTTAGCAGAATGTTTGATAATAAAGGCGATAAACTTCTGCTTGAAATGGAGGAGGATGATGCTGATCCCGAGAATCAGCATCCCCGCTGTGAGCACGGACCCACGGTTTTGTTTTATCGGCAATCCCAGCTTCCCGGCGAGGGATATTACGCCTGTTCAGCGCACAGGGACTCAAAACTATGTAGTTTTCACCTGTCAGCAGATCAATGGAGAGGTCAAACAACAAGAGATCCATTTCTAGCCAAAAACTATCCCCTATCAGCCCGAAAATTACCAAATTCAGCTCTTCCTGATCCTACATTAAGCCTAACAGCACTTTCCCAGGATAAAGTTAATGCTCAATATTTCTTTGATGAAGCTGCTCTTATCTTCTTAACAAATCAGTGCACAAATATAGGAGCTAGGTGCGTTAATCTATTGAAATTTAGAAACCTTTCTGACCTTCTTAAATTAGTAAGGTTATCTGCATGGGTGCACCACGTTTACATTTCCACCTGCGCCACCAAATGCAAAGTTTTCTATTGGATCTGGATGAAAGATTTGCAGAGTATCTGGGACCTGAAGAGTTTTGTCTCTACAACATGTGCAATAATCACTTCTTTTACAATCGCAGGCCCTTTGAACAGTTCCTGGCTGGTACCAGGTACGTTAGTTACCGTAATATAATTGTATTCTTTATTTAACATTTTCCTCTTTTCCAGTCCGGGACAACTTGTGATAATAACGGATCCGCCCTTCGGCTGTCGCACAGAATTGATTTCACACACCCTACGCAGCCTTAGGAAACTCCACAACAGAATAAACCAGTTGGTGTCAACTCCACTCTCTATATTCTGGATATATCCGTACTATTCTGCTAATCACATAAGACAGGAAATGCCTGAGATGGAAATGTGCGATTACCGAATAAACTATACCAATCACCAGAGGTATACGAATATGGGCAAGCAAAGCCGGTTTTGTGGATCACCTGTGCGAATGTTTACCAATGTGCCCCTCAGATTGCTTCAACTGCCCCTGGAAGAGGGCTATAAGTACTGCCAAATCTGCGATTGCCACACGGCAAAGGATAACCTTCACTGCAATCGATGTGGGAAATGTCCATCGGTAAATGGTCAATCGTATCGGCATTGTGAGTCATGCGATATCTGTGTCAAACCTAATTATGTTCACTGCGTTAGCTGCAGGAGATGCACTCAAAGAGAGGGGCACAACTGCTCCTTCTACCAGACCAAACAACACTGCTGGTTGTGCGGCAAAAAAGGCCACATTGAAGCCAAGTGCTATAACGTACAAAAACGGAATATGAAGTTCACAAAAGGCTGTCTTCTGTGCGGTAAACAGAATCACAGGGAAAGAAGATGCACTAAGCGCAAAAAGTACTTCAGGGAACTTCACTTTATGGAAGAAACCACTATAACATGTCTTTAAGCACTCTCTTCGTGTTCAGTCCCACCTACACGAAATGTATTTGTAGTTAACACTTGTTGAATGGATTCAGTTTATGCACTTTGAGCTGTATTTACATAGCTTATTAATAAAAATTATTTGTACGAAGTATTTCATAAAACTCCCAAAAACATAAACAAAACATTTGTTTAATACAAAATTTATTTGTTCTTAACACTTTTCGTTGAAAGTCTTACAAATTTTGAATTGCAACGGCTGCGCGCGGAATTTCTGATGCACATGACCACGATAAATTGTGGAATGAATTCTTAGCCCGCCGTACGAACGACCGGATTTGGAGAATATATCAAATTTTGAAAATATGCATTACGTTTAAACAGGTCTTTAACTTAAGCTTAGATATAATTAATTTCATGTGGAAAACACATCATTGCCTCAACAAGCAGAGTGGATCTTTTGTTATCTTGCCGCGAAAGAAATGATGACGTCGACAGTGTTCACGTTCGTTGAGGTGAAAGTATTTTATTGGCTATGAATTTAATGGCTTAAGAACGATTGTATTTGCCCCAGATGTGCAGCATGAAGACAGAAGCAATGAAGAGCAGCGACATGACCAGCACGGGCACGGGACCGCTAGAAATATTTTGTATAATAGAAAGTGTCATAAGAAGGTGTTATTTAAATATAGCTCGTTCCACTTACACCTTAATTCCGGGCGAGTCGTCCGTGTAGAAGCGCCACATGCCACCAGTTCCGGCTCCGCCGGGTGCACGACTCCTGGCCGCCGTGGTGCTGCTGGTGGTCTTGCGCTGCTTCAGGGTGCTGCCGCCTCCGGATCCGGCGCTACGTGGCGCTGACAATTTGCTGGGCGAGCGTGATCCGCTGCCTACGGACGTCGAACTTGCTGGAGCGGGCTGTTAAAAACACTTTTAATTAGTCGGGGCACTCAATTACTTCTTAGTTTAACTCACCATTTTTAGCTATCTGTTTTTCTGGACCGACTGACCTGGAAAATGTGAACAGGCAAAGTGGAATCTGAATATGAATCTGACGTGCTCGCCTCGGCTTCGTGTCGCTTCGTTTTTTTTCGTTCCACGTCACTTTGGTGGTGGCATTGCAAGCGATAGGTCGTGTGTCAGGGCTAATAGCTATCGCATCTTTAGATAGCTAAAAGTGACAGCCGAAAGAACCAACTCAACTATCGGTTCAATTAATTTAACTATAATAAACTATTTAAATCTAACATTTAAAATATTTTATTTATAAGTTATTTAAATATTTGTTATACTATAATTTAATAAACGATTTTGAATTGAAGTGCTAATTAATATGTATTAATTAATATATTTTAAGACTATCATTAGGAATTTTAAAGTAAAGCTGGATAATTTCTAAGTAAGTTCATAAACTAAGTTAAAATGGAACCTATTTATTTTATAATCAGAAAGTAACTAAATAAGCTTTAGTTGCAACATCAATAAATATCGTTAGCAGCCCTGCATTAGTAAGTTTTGGATGTTTTGCTGGACGAGAGCTAATCAATTGACGGAAACCAAATCATTACTAACTTCAATTTACATATGTAAAGCAAAAAGAAAAAAACAAAATAAGAAAAAAAAAAGTAGAATAGAAATTCTAATTGTTACTTTAAGATATCCGATAACTATCCGATAAAAGGTATACCCAAGCGCGGGCTTACTAAACGCCTTAGCATTTTCGCATATCGGTACTACGTTCACGTTAACTGCAGCGGCATCATTTTTGCTTGATTTTGAAGCGAATTTTGTGCGGTGAAAAACTTGACAAAAGTGCTTGGCTTGATGTGCTAATATGTGTATATTCGTTTCGCCAAACACCCGATAAGTTAATCACACTCATCAATAATTTCTTTTGAAAAAATTTGATGAATCGCAACGCAGTTAAGATTTTGCAAATATATCGACGCACATGAAAAGTGTAATATGGAGGATATAGAATACCTAGACGAGTACAAAGACTTGGTTATGCCAGGTGCGTGAATTCCCCTTACCTTACCATAAATATGTATGTAATTTGAAATATCTGTGTAATTTGTGTGGTTGCAGGGATCAAGTCTGGTGCGCCGCCAGCTTCTGCAGGCGTCTCACGGCACCGTCGGATTTCGTCAGACTCGAGCAATTCGTCGTCGATTGATGCAGACATCTTCCAGAAGCTTTTCCACGGCAAGTACCTCAATGACGAGGTGCTTAATGCGCCTTCTGGTTCTAAGTCTCAGGACAGACGACGCCGCTCCCCATCCCCGTCCTCCTCCTCCAGCGATGAGTCAAACGATGCCTTGGAAGCCCTTTTCAATCCGAGAAGTAGCAAATCGAAGCCAATCAAGCGACGCGAACGCTACGAGTCCTTTGATTCGGTGGACGATCTTGGTAAGCAAATCCAAATTCCTACAATTATACTGTGAAATGTATTACAATATGCTATCCAAAACCTTAGGGGAAGCCCTAATGCGTCCGATGCAGAAGTCTACTGTACACAAGTCCAAAACATCCCAGGCAGGCGGCAAAAAATTACACGCACAACCTTCACACAGGAGCAAAAGCAGCAGCAGCAGCCACTTGGACCAGTCTCAAGTCAAGAAACCACAGACTATATCATCAACCAAAACCGAAAAATCCAGTCTTAGTGCTGAATATCGCAGTCAAAGTGCCAAAAACAGGAATCGTAACTCTACACCCACCAAGTCGACAGGATCTCTAAATGGCAGTAGTCTATCATCTGCCAAAAATAAGACAGTGACCATCATTAAGGCACAGAGAGCTGATGTAACAGCTTCAAAGCAGGAACCCAAAACTGATCCATTAAGTAATTTGTCTTTGTCCTATACCATAGACTTTATGATGTCTAATCTGTTTGTAATGCCCACAGCTCTGCAAAATTTATATGACGATTCAGACAGTGATTCGTCCTACGAGTATGAATCAGACTTCTACGGCGATTACGACTCAGATGAAGAGGATGAACCAGTGATCGACATTTCAACGGACACAAGCAGGACCACATCGGTGGCGGGTAAGTCAGCGTTAATAACTAGTTGATACTGCCAACCCTCTGATAATATTCATAATATGTAAACACACATAAACCGTGTAGACACTGTGACACCTGTTGTTTCCGACGACGAAGGCCAGGATCTGCAAAGCGAGCAAAATGAACGATCTGACAATAATCAAGAGTCGATATTGAGCGGCGCGTATGAACGTCTGCAGTCTTACTTGAGTAATCTCAGTTGCGCTGAGGCGCCGCCAATCTATAAGAAACAGAACAGTGCACGGAAATCCCGCTCCAACGAAAAGAAACCCTCTTCCTCTGAACAGGTGAAGCATGCTAATGAGCGACCAGTGGGTAAGTGTGCACCGATGACCATTGGGGCGTCCATTTCTTGACCATGAACGCCTCTGTGAACCTAAAAACATTCCATACCCTTACATTTGTAACTCTTTTATGCTTTTTGTTTCGCAGCCAGTGACAAAGAGGAGACGGATAAAAAGGAGCGGCTGCTAGAGCCACCGGAGGCCAGTAGTAGTGCCAAATCCTCTGCTAGCAAGGCCAGTGTTAATCGTAAGCTGTACGCCGTGGATGCTAATGTCACGCTCGAGAGTGTTGAGCGCATGAGCCATGACCTGGCCGAGCAGATCATGGAAATCGATGTTGAATTCGAAAAGCGATCCGGGTCAAAAACGCGAAGCGGATCAAAATCTAAGATCTCAGCGGATTCGGGTAGCCCATCTCTTCTGAGCAAGAGTCATGTGCGCAAGCTCACCTACTCCAGTGAACAGTTGGATGACTCTGAGCCCTCAGGGACGATGTTGCGGCGGTCAAAGAGCGAGTCCTTTCCTAAGCAAGAACGCTCTAGGGGTGAAAAGCAGCGTAAGAGTCGTGCTGCAACCACGGATGAAAAAACGCTTACTGCTCCGGAAGGACAGGGAGAGACACCCAAAAAGAAACGCGGAAGACCTCGCAAAATTATTCCAAATAAGGAAACGTTAAAAGTGGAGACTACCGAAAAACCAACCGAAAGCTTGGACAAAGATATTTCTCAGTTAATAGAAGCAAGCGGAATGGAAACCGCAAAGGAGACAATTATTTCGAAAGAACCAATAGAGCACGATGAACTAAATGCAGATTTAGATAAAGCCAAAGACTTCGCAGGATTTGACAACTTATCCCAGGATGATAATAAAATTAACTCATCTCCGCAAGAAACGGATATCAAAAGCGCCCCAGATAGGGGTTTGCAACTAGATGAAGAGTCTATACGGAATCTCGAAAAGGGTCAGCTTTCTATACCAGCCACATCTGTCGATACTTTGGACACCGCACACGATCACAGAGAAAGTGAAAGCGCAACAAATCTTAATGAATTGGTAGATACAACATTAATTACACAAAAGGATGACACTAAGAAAGACTCTGCCACTGAGAGCATTGAAAACATAATTAAAGCTACTGAAGATGTTGAATTACCTGGAACTGCAGATGCTAATGCTAAGACAATGGAGGTGTCAGAAAATATACTTGAACAGAGCGATTCCCAGCTGGCAGAGGACATTAAGTTGGCTGAAGAGATTTTGGCCGCTGAAGTCGGTAAAGGAATTGAAGTTAATGAAGTAGTGGCATCAGTAGAAGGAGAACAAGATCCTGTAACTGAAATAGTCAAAGAATTGGTGCAGGAAACAATTTCTCAAGTTGCAGTTATACCAAATGAACAAGAGCAGCCGGATGAAAATTCTCCAGTTGTAGAGCTAAATGTAGCTGATAAACTAGTTGAAAATCATGATGAACCTTTCCCAGTTGGAGAGCCAAATTTAGCTGATGAACCAGTTGAAAAACAGACTGTAGATGATGCTGCACATCCACCTGAAAATGAACCACATGCAGATGAGCAAAAATCGTATATAGAGCTAACTCCTGTTGAAGACCAACATTCTATTGTGGAAGAGGAAACAACAGCTGCGAAAGATGAACAATCTGATGAGCAAAATCAAGCTCAAGCTAAGGAGGAGCCTTTGCCAAGTTACGAAATTCTTCCCAGTGTAGACACTCCAACTAAGAATCGAATTTATGAGGAAGATCCAGCTCCGGACGGCAAGCTTTTGCAAAGTTCCCAGGATCCTCCTAGCATAGTCAGTCCAGCTAAAAAACAAAATCATTCTTCACCAGCTAATACTCCGAAGAAATCACGAGAGCTTGAGGCTTTAGGAAGCTCGGTTCCAAGGAGATCTCTTAGGTCCGATAAAGCAACTCCCCAGAATCAACGGAGTAGTCGCTCGAGGCGTTCACTAAGAACTGAACTAACTCAACTTCTGGATGAGTCATCAAGACGAAGTAGTCCAAGACTAGGAAAATCGCCGGCAGAAAGCCATTCCTCACAAGAACGCTCTCCAGTGGAAAAGAAAGTGATAACCTCAAAGTTAGCCAAAGAAAAGATAGCTTCAGAAAACGGGATGGTGGTAGAGGAAAAATCACATCCACCTGAGAGTGCAACTAACGTTCTTAACGATATCAAAACAACTGAGCATATTGGGGATGCTGATCCGCCCAATATTTCAGCAGAGAATCTGTCTGCCGCTGAAATAAAAAAAGAGAGTCTTGGGACATTGAAGTCAAAAAAATCTAGAAGGAGTCGCGGATCACGAAGAAAAAAACCAACTTCTGAGTTACACGAAGAACTTGCTACAACAATAAAGTGTGCTGAAGAATTTTCAACCTGTAGCGAATCAGAGCAGAAAAATGAGGAGAGGGGAGATCTATTGAATTCACCTATTGCAGAACCACCTGTTAGTAATAGCAATTCGGCTGTAGAACAATCTGTAGCCAAGGTTTCCGATACGGAACAGAGTGAGGAAAAACCCTTGAGTCCACGAAAAACACGTAGAATGGTAAAAGAAAGAGACACATCTGAAAGCGAAACACCTTCCGACTATTTACAAGCTAAAAGTGATGATAATCCTAGTACGACACATAGTATGGAATCTGTTGTGCACTCAGAAACTCAGGGGTGCAATACGGTCGCCGTTATAGAGGAGCGAACCCCTGGTCGATTGAGTCGTAGGGACAAAGCGATCATTGATGCTGGCAAATCCCAAAAAGTTGAAAGACCCTCTGCCAAATCTCAGTCTGCTGGAAGAAAGCGTACTTCGAAAGAAAAACCTTCCAATCAAAGTCACAATAAGGTGCCTAATAAGGCTATCGAACCAATTATTACTGATAATGACAAGGAAGAGGACAAATCAAAAAGCGAGGAAAAATCTAGTGACAGTTCAAGCGAGTCAAATCCTGAAAAAATCTCATCAGAAGTCATTACAAAGCAAAGCATGCAAGACCAGGAAAACGCAGACTCGGATTCAATTTTAAAAGAGTCAGCTGAGGATTTAGCTAAGGTTTCAACTATGGTAGATGATAAAAAGCCCATAGATAAAGTTGCTGAATCTAACAAAGAGCAATGCTTAAATACGGAAAAAGATAAACCCGCTTCTTCTGATGAACCAGAATCGGGCCCAATTTCAATAGAACTCTCAATAGATTCAGCTGAGCCTAAGGAATCTGAAGTAAAGTCCAAAGTCAGGAGTAAGAAAGAAGAAAAGAATCCTAAAGAATCTGAATCGGAGAATGATAAAGGCTCAGGGGTTAAAACAAAAACAGCCTCTTCTTCATCGATGGCCAGCGTCGAAAAAACTATGGTTACACCTGAAGTAAGCAAAGGCAAAACAATTGGAATAGGGAGCGGAAGGATCAGAAAACGTAGGCAAGCAGTCCCAATTGAGGATCCAGAGGATACATTTGGGAATACTACGCTTACAGAAAACGAAACCCCTGCCGTTTCCTGCTTTAGTGACAAGGACTCAGATCCCTTTTCTCCGTTTATAAAAATACCATCGAAAACATATATAATGAGTAAACGGATCAAAACACCATCATCGCCCTCTTCTGAAGCATTGGAAAATGTTCCGAAAACAAGCGATTTAGAACTCACACTTGAAGGAAAATCTGAAATCAAAAAGGAATTATTGACTTCAATACCTAGTACTAGCGAAATTTCAGAATCGTTGTCTTCAAATGAGGTTAAAGAACTTTCTTCTCCAACGCAAAATACGAATGAAAGTTCCACAACCTCTATTGCTCCTATAAAAAGGCACCAACGAACCAAAAAGTCCTACGGTGCAAGAAGTAAGTCTTCGAAATCGAAGACTAGAAAATCGAATAATACTTTTGAAAATAGTACCAACATAGCTTCTGAATCCTCTACCTCTACAAACCAAAAAGAACCGAGCTCTCCTACAGTCTCTTGTCGCAAACTTCGCGTTTTAATTAAAAGAACTCCCACTTTAGATTGGACTAAAAACACAAAGAAAACATCCTCCCTAAACAAGAATTCAGCCAAGTCAAAGCGATTAAATAAAATTATTGAGAGCATCGAACCTTCAGAGCAATGTGATAATAATCCAGAAACAGCTTTAGTTGAAACAAGCCCCGGGCTTAATACTGATCCAGAATCATTTCCCGAGCCTGATCTGGGTCATGAAACTAATAAAATCCTAAATGAAGTAGTTCCTAAGGAAATATCGGAGAATCTGGCTGCCAACACTAATAATGAACAAAAAAATAAACTAGAAACAGATCAGGACGAATTAGTAGAAGATGTAGAAACTTCTGCCGAGGGTGAAAACCCAATCCCAAACAATTCTCCTGTTTTAGAGGAGCCCAATAAAGACGAATTTAAATCAATAACAAATGCGACCCATGAGGGGGATATCTCAGAAGGAGAGTCACCCGAACTACAAGTCCCAAATGAGGAAAGCGTAAAACTTCTTCATCCAATAAAAGAAACCCCGAGCGATCATAAGTCAAGTGAGGAATCAGCTTCTTTAGCAAAGACCTCTGAGGACGAGGACATTGTAGAAAACGAGTTATCAACTGTTGCGTCAGCTTTAACCGAACCTGAGACTGATGTTACAGATGATGAAGAACCAGCTCAAAGCCCAATCCCGGACTCAACGGAAACAACAAGTGTCATGGACGAACCCGAAGCCACCACGTCCAGTGTGGTGAAGCGCAGCTTGCGTAAGCGAGAAGTGGATTCTTCACAACCAGATGGTTAATAGCTTGCCCAATCTTTTAGTTCTATTTTCTTAGTATATTAGCATATGTTATAAATATTTTATTTCTTATTCTTTCTCTATATTTAGAAGCTGCTAAACGAAAGCAACGCCAAGACAAGAAGTCCGTCACTGACAAAAAAGAATTTACTAGACCTGGTGAGTATTTTATTACACTCCATTTCTTCAGTAACATATTAAAATAACATATTTAAAATTTTTGTTTAATACTATTTAGTAACCAATAATTACCCTTTATTTAATGCAGCACGGCGTCACCATCTACCGGAGGAAGAGGAACGACCTGTACACAAACGCTCCAAATTAGACTCGGAATCGAGAACCAAATTCATTTCTATTATAGGCAAAGAGACTATAATGTCGTCCACCACAGCACCCGTTAGGGAAACCAGAAGCGAGACGACCAGCACATATGCATCTGCAAGGAAATCGGCAGCGAAGGAATCCAAACGTTCTGAGATCAACAAGCCTATGTTATTAGGACAATCTGCCAAGAAACTGCTGAGGTCGAATAGTCCAATTCCGTTTACCAAAAAGCCTATGGTACAGACCCTGCTGAGTTCTACACTTAGTCTGCACAAACCAGCGTCAGGAGAAGATGGTTCTTCCGTGGCAACAAGAAAGTCTTTAAATAAAGCGGATCGAGAAGAAAACAAGGCCAGCGATCAGCCGATTCTCAGCAGTTCCATTGTAGTCACTAAGAAATCACTACCATCCAGCAAGAATCTTGAATCGTTGAAGGAAGATGTTTCAACCGCTGTTCCAAGAAAGGTTAATATATCCGTTTCCGTGGTGCCCTTAAAGGAAACTTCTGCAGACACTTCAATGGCCCCCGATTCCACTCCTGAAACATCACCAATTTTGCAGCGAAAGGCACAGAAGGCATCAAGAAAATCGGAGACCAATAGGATTGTCGAGACCAAGAAAAAGGCCATATCCGTAGGCAATGTGAATCAGTTCATTAAGTCGGAAGAATCTGAAGAAATAACAGAGACATCGCCTTCGTCAGCTGTAATTGGGCGGAAAATACTTCCCCAACTAGAATCTCAAATAAAAACCGAAACCATGGCATCTGAGGGAGCTTCTTTAGCTCAAAGATCACTTCCTCAGACAGATTTCTCGAACAAACCCGAGTCCCGGAAATCGGAAACTGTGAAAAATATCAGAACAGACTATTCCGAGGAAATGGGAAAAGTGGCCAGGGGTCGAGAGACATCTAAGAAAAGAACATCAGCTCAGCGCAGATCGAAACACAAGTCCGGGTTACTTTCCTCGGAAGTGGAAACTACTTCCGACTCAAGGGATTCCTCACGCGAAGACAGGACCTCAGCAAACCGTTTTGATAAACATGATAACCCCGCGTCCGTGTCGCTTAATAAGTCTGTTAAGAAAACACGATCTTCTAGCAGCAATAGATCATTGACTTTTACGCCTATTCCCATATCTGGGGAGCAACAAAATGATTCTAAAGACCGTTTTACACCTATCTTAGATCAAAATAGGCCGGCGAAGCATACACCATCCTTGGGTCAATCGTTGAAAGGTCGTGGGCGTGGCGGACCACCCCGGCCGGTCTCTCTAAAAAGAAAGGCAGAAGAAGGAGCAGACCATTCAGATGTCGCTAATCTAAAGCGTTCCAGGGAACGGGAGGAAGATTTACGATGCCAGGATGTACCCGATCAGGATGGTGCTCTCAAGGCGTTCCCAGTGAAAATAATTGCTGCCCGTTTGGATTCTTCTGTTGACCCTGAGCCAGTTTCCTCTGCGGCTAAACCAGCTGACCATAAAACTAAGATACGCAAACTTAGAGTAAAAATTAATCGCCGATCCTTCAACAAATGGCTTCGAGCGACATGCGAGAGTAAAAGTCCCGTGACTAAAGCGTCATCTTTAAAATTACCATCACCATCACCACAAAAGGCGACTTCGGAAACGGAATCTGCAGCAGAGTCAGAATCAACATTCAAACCTCAGGAAGAGCCGGTGGAGACTTTAAAGACAGTGCCTCCCTATCAGCCTGATTCATGTCCATCACCAGCCCCAGAATTTCCAGTAAGAAAAAGCTCAACTCAGCACTCCCCCAAAACAGCTCATGTTCCATCGGCAGCCCCTGCTTTCCTTCCCGCTTCTATGAAAGCCCAGACGATAACCCAGCCAGCCAATGCAACAGCGAAGACAGCGATTTATCCCTTGACTGAACAACATCTTCCTGACGAGGCAACGTTGTTGGAAAATGCAAAGAAGTTGGCGGACCAGCGGAGGGTGCAAACGTCCCAGGCCAAGTTAATGCCTCTACCTGTTCCAATTCCAGAGGTGAAGGCGGAACCAGAAGATACTCCTCCAGAGGTCGCACAAGAGGATCAAATAACTATCCCATTACCTGTGATTCCACAAACGCCAATACCATCGCATTCACTTCCGATGATGGAGGACGTGAGCCCCTCCAATAATCAAGTCAACAACTTGGGCGTTTTTAATTCTACCGTCCCCACCGCCACCCTTTCGATTCCCTCGGCCAGTGCTCCAGGCGGTAATCCCAACGCCATTGGTCAGACCAAGTTGTACTCTTTCCTTTACCCGAAGCGCTATAAACCATCCTACGATGACGTAGGCCTAGACTTTTGCTGTCCAAATTTGGATGGACCGATGCGAGCTATTGATTTTACTCGTCTGCACTCGACGGCCGAGGTTCCGGTGTTGGAGGTGCCGCAGTACCTGGTTATAACCACCAAGTTCATTTCCAAGGCGGATAAGAATATTCCGAGTAGAGTGCGGGCCAAGTTGGAAATGCTAAGCAAGTATAAGGAACAGGAACTCCTCTCTAAGGGTAGCACTTTGGCTTCTGGTCCCACGCCTTTTCCCACTCCCGCTCCCACTTCTGCACACACTCCAGATATCGGTGGTCTCGGTCCACCTGGTGCTTACGACCTGAATACAGGTTCTTCTAGCATTCCAACAACCGTCGGCCTGTTCAATACAACATCAGATGTTCCATCCAATTCCTCTTTCGCAGCTGCATCCACTTCCCAATCTTCACCGAATCTGGATTCGCTAAGCAATCAATTGCCACGAGGAATAACGCTAGCCAGGAAGTTACTGCCAACAGAAAGCTATTCGATGCTAGACAGTCTGCCGCCGACCCTCATTCAGTTGCCACCGATTTGTCCCGAAGACAAGCAACGCATGGAGCTTCAAGCTAGGGTCCAAGTATTTGACTTGGCGCTCCAGGTTCTTAGTCGGCGGGTAGCAACACTAACACTGGCCCAGAGACAGCGTACAATCGAGGAAATCGTAAGGTCCAGCTCGCTGATGGCTATCGATGTTGATGTGGGTTCCAAGCTATTGGAGAACTATGTACATTACATCGACGAAGTTACCAGCTCAACGACGCCCTCATCTCCGACTCAAATAGATGCGATGACAGCAAAGTTGTTATCAGACGCTGCTAATCCCTCGAGTTCAGTTGCAGCTACCAGCTCATCGCTTTCCAGAAACATCCTGAGCACAACAACCCCCTCCTCATCTGCGCCACATCACGGAACAAAGAAAACTGTTCAACAGCGCAGCTCCCTTCCCGCGAGTATTCCCTTGTTCGATGAGGACAAGAATATCATTGGCTTTCGGTGCAATACGTCCAAAGCAAGAACTCCGCTACCGACTTTGGGGCAAAAGGACTCTCCCTCCGATTCCACCACACCTATGAGAGCCTCGACATCGGCAGCAGCAGCTGCGTTAGCGAAGACCCAGCCAAGGTCCTCAAAAGGAAGCAGAAAAAGTACAGTCGAATCTCCAAGCCAGGTAAATATACTCGTCTTACAGATCCAAAATAAATGCACGTATTAATTTTCTTAATAATCCCCATTAGATTGTAAATCTGAAAACGACAGTGTCTTTAAACATGCCAGCGAAAAGCAAGAAGAATCAAACTGCATTTGGCACCATAAAATCAATAAATCCTCCAGTATCTGTGCAAAAACCGATGATAAGCAGGAAGAAAACTGCTCCGGTGCGGACATTCAATAAAAGCAATACCATAGGTCCACTTTCTGCGCAAGCAACTTTTGGACAATTACCACCGGAACCAGAAGAGTCTAAAATTTCATTTATGAGTGAAGATCTTGCCGCCGAATACGTAACCCCAGCCGGACTAAGTCACAGTAGCACCTCCAATCCCAATATGTTTATCATGAATCAGGCTTCGGAACCGGAAGAATGCATTCTGCCCGATTCAAACAGTGACATGACGCCCATGGAGGCGGAAATCAAGGGCGAACTGGATGACTCTTCGGAGGCTATTATCTAGCGGCACAGACTATCCCCAGATGGAAAGTATTTTAAGTTACTTTAACACAGTTAATTAAGCAGAGTTAATTACTTCGTTGAACGCAAGAACAGAATTTTGTAATTCTATGATGAAGAATTTGTTAAACCATCATCCGATAATTTTTCAAAAAATAAATGGATATATATTAATTATGATTAATGTGCGTTTTTAAAGTTTATAGGTGTATAAATATAAACAATTCATATATGATATAATATTTTGTAGATCTAATACATATAACTTATCATAAACGTGAAAAATATTTTTTTTTTAATAAAAAAGAAGTTGAACTTTCTAATAATGCGTATATTTTTATTCAAATTGCGTCCTCGAGCTTTTGCGAGCTTATAGAGTTTGTGGCGAAATGTGAAAGCTCTTGTGAAATGTAAACAAGTTTTCGGTATAAAAGACGATGAGGTAAAGAACCATATTTATTGGCTATATGGTACCTAAGATGACAACATCTATTGAAGAAGCTATAAAAACTCCCAATAGTAAGTTTTCATAGTTTTCGCTTTTAATAACTAATAATAATAATAATTTCTTCTCTGCAGGCGCATATCCTAACTTGGAACAGCGACTAGAGACGTATATGCGAAGAATTTGTGGCCTCAAGAATATCTATACACAGAATGAGTATGATCCAAATGAAGTGGAATATTTTGGAGTCCTAAGCTTGAGAGATGCACGAGCTCCTCGTCGAAAGTTGTGGTATATGTACTACGCGACAACGGATCAATTGGACACTACTGTGGATCGGATCCATCGTAAATATGGTCAAAAGAATATGTACGAGCTCTTCAGAAAGCCAGTATATAGTGGGGTCGGAATGAGATCACGTGTTAAATACCACTTTGGAGGACTAAAGTGGTATGTTAAAGGAAATATTTTGGAGGCGCCTCCCGAAAGCTCCTATAATGATGAAAAGGTGGTGAACACAATCGCAGACTTGTACCAGGCTGAAAGGCGAAAATATTACGATTACTTAGCATCTGCGAATGATCGTTATAAGAAATGGACATATTATCCTCTTAATGCGTAATAGATGCTTGTGTTGCATCTACATATAAGATTCAATTAGAATAAGCTATAAATACAAGACTGTAAATAAAAACTAACTAGTATACTGTCAAAGTTTGTTGGGGCTGGAAGCTACAATAATCGCGTGTTTATCAATGGGTAATGCCAATGAATCACCTTCACTTTTCGAAATCGTTGTAAATGTTTTTTATAGCTGATAAAGGACCAACATTTGAGGATAAATTGGAAAAGTACTGGAGGCGCCTATTTTATCTGCAGCCGAAATCGGAGACCACTCCTTTGGATTCTTGTACAATAGAGTATTTTGGAGTTTTAAGTATTAGAGATCCTTCAGCCACCGAGCGTAAGCTTTGGCATATCTATTACTGCATGAAACCCGATATTTCCGATGTTGTCAATAAGATTCGGGAGAAATATGGCAAAAAGAATGTGTACGAAATATATCAGAAACCCATATTCAGCGGTGTGGGTTTTCGTAAAATCGTAAAAGATTATTTTTCCAATTTGAAATGGACAACAAGCGGAAATCTCTTGGAAGCGCCTCCAAATAGCTATTATAGCGATGAAAAGTTCGTTAAAACAGTTTCAAATTTGCACTATAAAGAGCAGAAAAGGATATATGGCTATATAATGGAGCAACACAATTGGTATAAGCGCTGCAATGATCAAAAACCACCACCTCTCCGGCATTAAAAATGTAAATAAATAAATAAAAAAGCTTTTCTACACAGAGTTGCTTGCAAAAGCTCATTTTTGTCTGCATTGTGAAATCGTAAACAAACCAAAAGCTACATTTATATTTCATTTTAGCATTTATTTTGTTAGCTATTTAAGAAGCGTGTGCGTAGGAATTTCGTTCACATTTAAAAGTTGAAATTGGAAGTTACCTTGATTGTAGAAGAATGACAACAAACGCAGTTAAAGACAAAAACTCTGGTAAGTAGAATAAAAGTCAAATCGGCAAATCAATGATGATTAATACCTATAATTTATCTTTTTGTAGAAACTGATTACGACCTGGAGGAGGAAATCGACAACCACTTGAGGCGTATCTTTTATATGAAACCAAAAAATGACTCCGCAAAGTGCAATCCCTACGTAGTGGAGTTCTTTGGGGTTCTCAGTTTGAAAGACCTTCGGGCTCCAGATCGGAAACTGTGGGTAATTTACAATTGTAAGCAGCCGGAACTGGACAAAACGGTTGATGAGATCCATCAGAAGTACGGAAAAAAGAATATGTTCGATCTCTACCGCACGCCAGTCTTCAGTGGACCTGCTCTGAGAGCCAATGTTAAAAAACACTTCTCGGAACTTAAGTGGTTTACAAAAGGCAATCTTTTGGAAGCCCCTCCCAAGAGTCATTTCAACGACGAACGAGTGGTCAAAACCATTACTGACCTGCATCACCTGGAGCAGCAAAGGCTGTATAATTATGTGATGGTGAAAAATAATTGGTTTAGACAATATTACTCGTAGTCCCTTCCCAATCCTGTGATCTAGGATTAACTTCCTTTAAGCAAAAGTGGCCTTAATTCACATTTTAATGCTTTGTTTTTTTTAGGATAGACTAAATCCATAATATAATGATAGGTAAACCATTTAATTTTATAATCAATTAGTTCTTGACTTGTTTTGAAGAAATCAGATTTATTTTTCTGTATGTTTATTGAAATAAAATATAGAAACTAAGAAATATTGTTGTTGTTTATTGAATGATAGTAATTTTTATGTAAAAATATTAATGGTAATTTTTATAACTTGTATTAGGTAATAAAATGGAAACAAGTTGTTGCTTATTTGTTTTGTAAATATTTAATTGGGTACAACAGTCGAACAAGGGTTAACGATTCTATCGATAACACACGCCCTCGCCTATCGCCCACCCCTGCCGAGCCTGAAGCGTGCGTCTTCTAAAAACGCAGGCAGCATAAATAACATTTACTAAAGGCCAACAGTTAACTAATAAACACTGTCTGGGTGTCCAAAACGGTAGAAACACAATCCGATAAAGATGGTGAGTACCGGAAACCAATCCTTTGCTCAGTGTACACCCATTAATAATACTTTTTTTTTCCGAAAACAGTCCTCGCGTTCTTCCGAAGAGCGAAACTATTTACATCGTAAATTTGACAGGTAAGCAAAATGCAATATAAAATATGTACCTAAAAAGTTAAAGTGTTGAGAACTCAATTGCAGCAGTAGCTACAAACACAAGCGCTCCGCGTCATCATCGTCAGCCAGGACAACTTCCTCCGGACACAAGGACCGCAGGTAAATGTGTACACACTTAAGTATTAAACTCCTAAACGATACCTATTTGACATCAAGCATCGAGTAGTTTTGGCTGACAGTTTAGAAAAGTCATGTCATTGGAGACTTATAGCTTTCATTTGGATTCGACTTTCAGACGAGCTGGTGCTCTTGCCAAAGAAAAAACTAAAACGAAGAAAATTTCAGGCTGATTTACATTTCCATTGGAAGAAAGAACCCAAGCTATGTAAGAAACTCCTCGAAGCATTAATTTATTTTGCCTGTTCAAAAGGCGAAGAATAAGTCCGAAGTAGATTAAATTGAATTGAATTGAATACAGCAATATCAATTGTCAAGCCACACGAAACACACAGTATTCCAAATATCAGTTAGCAAGACCCGCAAGAAAGAATTGCAAGATAATCTAATTTCATTCCATTCCACACTAAATCAAGGTCGGACTACGAGTACTATGGCAGTCGCCGCCAACGACGCTCCGATTCTCGTCAGCGCTCTTATTCGCGTTCCGGCTCGGAGTCGCCGGCTTCGGCGCCCCGTCGTTACTCCGGTCAATCGTCCCGTGATCGCCAGCGAATGCACAAAGCTCGCGTAAGTTATTTTCTTCATTTTCACCGAATTTTGAGTCCTTTATAGGAACTTTTTTATCCTTATCCGTGAATTTGTCAATCCAGGAACATCCTCAAGCCAGCCGATGTATTGGAGTCTTTGGTTTGAACACCAATACCTCTCAGCATAAGGTCCGCGAGCTCTTCAACAAGTACGGACCCATTGAACGTATCCAAATGGTCATCGACGCTCATGTAAGACTAGTTCTAAAATTCAGTATTATAATAACTCTTGCCTGAATGCATTTGATTAGGCAACTCGGTTGAAGTTGTGCAGTTTTGTCATAATTTCCGGCTAGATTACAATAGACAGTGATTATGAGCTTTTGTGCATTCCAAACTAAAAGCTAAAGGCTTGCTGTCACACTGAAAACTATTCACAACAAAATGGTTTTTATTTTCCAAAATATATACACATTTATATAAAAAAAAAATGAAATTCCGAAACCAATTCATATTCTGCCCTGTACTGATTAACTTATAAACATACAGACACATCGTTCGCGTGGCTTCTGCTTCATATACTTTGAGAATCTCGAGGATGCCCGTGTGGCGAAGGACGCCTGTTCCGGCATGGAGGTGGATGACCGTCGTATTCGGGTTGACTACTCTATAACTCAACGCGCCCATACGCCCACTCCGGGTGTATATATGGGTCGTCCATCGCGAAGTGGACGTTCACGCTCGCCGCGTGGAGGACGACGCCGCGATCGTTCTTATACACCAAATGACGGCTATCGTAACCGCAATAAATACCGCAACGATCGCTATGATCGTAACTACCGTAGGAGTCCCAGTCGCTACATTCGTAACAAAAGCGTTAGCCGCTCACGTTCTCCGCAACCACGTAAGTGTGATCTTGAATAGCTATTGTTTAATATAATTAATATTATTCTTATATGAATATAATTCCCACTCAGGTCGCACCTCATCGCGCTATTAATCTGCCCCAGAAGAGGCGATAAAGCCACTTCTTTAACTCATGCTCCTAAGTAAACTCAACTGGTTTGTGGCAAACGGTTTGCGGAGGAGCATACGACTGAAATATTGTGTTTTGGTGAAACCATCCTATCTATGGCATTTGGTTGACTGCTCACAGCTTACAACTAGACTAATTTCCAAATTCATTATTCAGCTTATTATTAATATTCGTTAACCATTAATGATTCTGTACAAAAACGTAGTTTGTAAATATCAGATCAATTACCATCATTACATACGAAGGTCCGCATAGATTGTGATATGTATTTTAAAGGTACTGCAGTAAACTGATAATGATAAAACAAATAATTTTAAATATAATCATAATTGTGCAGCACGCACAAAATAAAATTGAAATTGTACAGGACTGAAGATGAAACTTTTGTTTCTTAAATATTGTTGGTCTTTATTTATTGAGTTGGTCGTAAAGTGCGATTTAGCTAATGTAAAATGGATTTGCTCGTAAAGAAAGATAGTTAAATTAACTTAATTTCCATATGTTTAAGAGTAATAGTTTCAAAGCGTTATCTAGCTAATTCTCGATGCGCATTTAAAGAAGCACATTTTATAGTTATGGAAAAAGTTCTTTTCACGATAGGAGTAAAATACAATAAGAAATCATCTCGCAAAATGTTTGGAGAGTAATCCCAAAAATTCTCATGTAGCGCTGGGTTTGGAAGATGAGGGCTCCATGAAAGTCTCAGTCCCGCTTGGGGCTTGTGTCGCTCGAGAAGCCTTGTAAGCCAGCTCCAGACTTTGATTTATCACATGCATGTCCCCTTCAATGCTGCGAGCCCAGTTCTCCACGTCGCCCAGCTCCTTTAAAGCACTACTGAAGTTGTCGATGAGCTGCAGCCACTGGTGCGTCTGCTTGGCGAAGTTAGTGGCTCCCATGTGCAGTTGCTTGGCCTCCGCGTCTAGGCGTTTCTGGTTCAAATAAGCTTGAGCCACTCCCACATTAAGGGTGTCTACCAGCGATTGGGTGAGCTCGTTGGAAGCTTCTATTGCTTCCTTGCGGCGTAACTCTGAAAAACAAGTGTGTGAATACATTTTAGCTGAAAAACCCAATAAGTCCCATACCCTGCTCTTGTTTCCGCTTCACTTGCTCCTTGTGATGTTCCTTAACCATGGAAGTTAACATACTTAAGCGTTTTTTATATCCAAATCAAAAGAAAAACTAGATTTTGTCAACAAAAACTAGAACAGCTGTTTTTCTAGAGATGAGACTCTTACATCGATTGCGATAGGATTTGTCGATGAGTCAGTTGACCGTTAAAATCGATGCGATTTCTCCTCTAATAGCCACACACGTGCGGGACTGTTGCGCTCTTATTTTTTAGAATCGTGGTATAAATTAGGCGAAATGGGTTCTAAACGGCCGCAGGACGTGCACATGTTCCCTTCGGACCTGGAGTTCGCTGTGTTCACTGACCAGGAGATCCGCAAGTTGAGCGTGGTGAAGGTAATCACGGGCATTACATTCGATGCATTGGGACACGCTATGCCCGGTGGTCTGTATGACAATCGAATGGGGTCTTACGGTCGGTGTATGGATCCCTGTGGCACATGCCTGAAGTTGCAGGACTGTCCTGGACACATGGGCCATATCGAGCTAGGAACTCCCGTCTACAATCCCTTCTTTATAAAGCTGGTGCAGAGACTGCTGTGCATATTCTGTTTGCACTGCTATAAACTGCAGATGAAGGGTAACCAATAGATCGCTCTTCCTATTAGAAACAACTAATTTTTTAACTTTTGTAGATCATGAATGTGCGATCATTATGTTACAGCTGCGTCTGATCGACGCTGGCTACATCATTGAGGCCCAAGAACTCGAGCTCTTCAAGTCGGAGATTGTGTGCCAGAACGCCGATGACCTAGTAACACTGAAGAATGGCGATTTGGTTCACCCCAACATTGCTGCAATGTACAAACTGCTGGAAAAGAATGAGAGGAACTCCAGCAACTCCACCAAGACAAGCTGTTCCTTACGAACAGCCATTACGCATGCTGCCCTGCAGCGAGCAGGCAAAAAATGCAGGCACTGCAACAAATCTATGCGTAATGTACGCTATATGCATCGCAGGCTGGTGTTCTACGTCACTTTGGCGGATATAAAGGAACGGTAAGAACTGAAGTCTTAAAGTGATATTTCTAAATCAAACTTTTTAATTTTTCTTCTACAGCGTCGGTAGTTCCTCCGAAAGCGCAGGTCAGAACAAAGTTATATTTGCAGACGAATGCCGTCGTTATCTTCGTGAGATCTATGCCAATTACCCTGAACTATTGAAGCTGCTTGTTCCTGTTTTGGGGCTTAGCAACACAGATGAGGCGCAAGGTGACCGATCGCCGGTGGACGTATTCTTTATGGATACGATTCCGGTAACGCCGCCACGTGCGCGTCCCATGAACATGGTAGGAGATATGCTAAAAGGAAACCCTCAGACGGATATTTACACACACATCATTGAGAATAACCATGTGTTGAATGTTGTTCTCAAGTACATGAAGGGTAGCCAGGAGAAGCTAACGGAAGAGGCTAAGGCTGCCTATCAAACCCTAAAGGGCGGCACGGCCCATGAGAAGTTGTATAACTCGTGGTTAGCACTTCAAACGTCTGTTGATGTGCTTCTTGATGTGAATATGTCCCGCGATATTAAATCTGCTGAAGGTCTGAAACAAGTTATAGAAAAGAAGGATGGCCTCATTCGTAAGCATATGATGGGCAAACGTGTGAACTATGCCGCTCGTACTGTCATTACACCAGATCCTAATATAAACGTGGATGAAATCGGTATTCCCGACATTTTTGCGAAGAAATTGTCCTATCCCGTACCAGTGACTGAGTGGAATGTTTCCGAGCTCCGCAAGATGGTAATGAACGGTCCAGATATTCATCCCGGAGCGAACTACATTCAGGACAAGAATGGATTCACCACTTACATTCCCGCCGACGATGCTTCAAAGAGGGAGAGCTTGGCCAAACTACTCCTGTCCAATCCAAAAGATGGAATTAAGATCGTGCATCGTCATGTGCTCAATGGGGATGTCTTACTGCTCAATCGGCAGCCTTCGCTGCATAAACCATCCATTATGGCCCACAAGGCTCGCATCCTACACGGAGAGAAGACCTTCCGGCTGCACTACTCTAACTGCAAGGCTTACAACGCTGATTTCGATGGCGACGAAATGAACGCCCATTATCCGCAAAGTGAGGTGGCCAGGGCGGAGGCTTATAACCTAGTGAATGTGGCCAATAATTATCTAGTGCCTAAAGACGGCACGCCACTAGGTGGACTTATACAGGATCACGTGATTTCCGGTGTAAAGCTCTCAATTCGTGGACGATTCTTTAACCGAGAAGACTACCAGCAATTGGTGTTCCAGGGACTATCCCATCATATAAAGAATGTTAAGCTGTTACCACCTGCTATAGTAAAACCAGCTAGGCTATGGTCCGGAAAGCAGGTCCTATCCACCATCATTATTAATATTATTCCTGAGGGATACGAAAAAATTAATTTGGATTCATTTGCCAAGATAGGTGGAAAGGCAAGTGAAATTAAGAATACATTTTAGTTTTTATATTTATGTTATTTCTAATGGCTTGCAGAATTGGAATGTGAAACGCCCACGCCCAGCAAATTATGGCAAAAATCCTGAGGAAAATGAATTAAGCGAAAGTCAAGTCCAGATTAGGAACGGAGAGCTGCTTGTCGGAGTTTTGGATAAACAGCAATACGGAGCCACCACTTTTGGTTTGATCCATTGCATGTACGAGCTTTATGGAGGCGAAGTGTCAACAAGACTGCTTACCGCCTTCACCAAAGTATTTACCTTCTTTCTACAACTGGAGGGCTTTACTTTGGGTGTCAAGGATATCCTAGTTACCAACGAAGCGGATCGAAAGAGGAGGAATATCATTCGAGAGTGCCGCGATGTGGGCAACAGTGCAGTATCTGCTGCTTTGGAATTAGAGGATGAGCCTCCGCATGATGAGCTGGTGGAGAAAATGGAGGAGGCGTACGTTAAGGACTCGAAGTTCCGTGTGCTTCTCGATCGTAAATACAAATCACTCTTGGATGGATACACTAATGACATAAACAAGTAAGTTGCACTCCAGTCCACACAAAGAAAAAAATTGAACTTCCTTCTTTTGTAGAACTTGTCTGCCCGGTGGTCTGATTACCAAGTTTCCATCAAACAATCTGCAACTGATGGTGCTATCCGGAGCTAAGGGATCCATGGTGAACACTATGCAGATCTCATGTCTTTTGGGACAAATTGAGTTAGAGGGAAAGCGACCACCTTTGATGATATCTGGCAAATCGCTCCCCAGTTTTACTTCCTTTGAGACCTCACCAAAATCTGGAGGTTTTATCGATGGTCGTTTTATGACTGGTATTCAGCCGCAGGACTTTTTCTTCCATTGCATGGCTGGTCGAGAAGTAAGTTTGAAATTTTTTATAGCATGGTTTACAAGTACTTAAGGTGAATCTCCACAAAAATGTAGGGTCTTATTGATACTGCTGTAAAGACATCCCGTTCCGGTTACCTGCAGCGCTGTCTTATAAAGCATTTGGAGGGCTTAAGTGTCCATTATGATCTTACAGTGCGTGACAGCGACAATAGCGTGGTACAATTCCTTTACGGCGAGGATGGTTTAGACATTCTGAAGTCAAAGTTTTTCAACGATAAGTTCTGTGCTGACTTCCTAACGCAGAATGCCACTGCCATTCTGCGGCCCAGTCAACTCAATTTTATGAAGGATGAGGAGGAGCTGGCCAAGGTAGAGCACCATGAGAAGCGCATCCGTAGATGGGAGAAGAAGAAGCCATCAAAACTACGATCGGCTTTCACTCACTTCTCTGAAGAACTGCGCGAGGAAGTGGAAGTAAAGCGACCCAATGAGATAAATACAAAGACAGGCAGGCGCCGCTTCGATGAGGGCCTGTTAAAGCTCTGGAAGAAGGCAGATGATGAGGACAAGGCTTTGTATCGCAAAAAATATGCTCGCTGTCCGGATCCCTCGGTAGCTGTCTACAAGCAGGACCTTTACTATGGGAGTGTGTCAGAAAGAACGAGAAAACTCATCGATGATTACGCTAAAAGAAATCCATCCCATAAGAATACCATAGCCGACATCATGCGGGTTAAGACTATTAAGGCGTTAGCCTCTCCTGGTGAACCTGTGGGTCTAATAGCTGCTCAATCGATTGGTGAACCCTCCACTCAGATGACACTGAATACGTTCCATTTTGCCGGTCGTGGTGAAATGAACGTGACTCTGGGTATTCCTCGACTTCGAGAGATTCTCATGCTGGCGTCGTCAAATATAAAGACGCCCTCAATGGATATTCCCATAAAATCTGGTCAGCAGCATCAGGCTGAGAAGCTTCGTATAAATCTTAACTCTGTGACTTTGGCTAATCTTTTGGAGTGTAAGTACATAAAAAAGCCATATTTTTTTCACCTAATCATTCAAGAAAATTTCCTTATGTAGCTGTTCACATAAGCACTAATCTAACTTTGGAGCCGGAAAGGGCTTATGAGTATGATATGCGCTTCCAGTTCTTGCCTAGAGAGGTCTACAAGGAGGACTATGGTGTGCGACCCAAGCATATAATAAAGTACATGCACCAAACATTCATCAAGCAACTAATTCGATCGATTCTGAAAGTATCCAGCGCCGCAAAAACAACCAAAATGTAAGTAATTACCCTGCAGACCCGAGATTATAGACTTAATTCTCTTTAATTCTCAGAGTTGTAATAGACGACAAGAAGGACGCTGATAGGGAAGATGATAATGACTTGGACAACGCTGATGATGGTGGCAAAAAAGCAAAGGCTAATGATGATGATTCATCGGACGATGACGTGGGTTGAGATTTCACCAATCTAGAAAATTAAATTAATAAAATTTATTTTTTAAAGGGCGATGATGACGACGCGACTGGCATGAAACTCAAGCAACGTAAAATCGATGAGAAAGACTATGATGATCCTGACGACATTGAAGAACTTAACGATGCCAATAGTAAGTTAAGATTTTTATTTACCTCTTTAGATATTCCTAACTCCCTTTGTTTTAAAGACGATGACGAAGAAGCAGAGGATCAGGACGACGAGGAAAAGATCCAGGATAGTAATGAAAACGATGGCGATGATAAGTCAGTGGAGAGGTTGCTAAGCAACGATATGGTCAAGGGCTATTCCTACGATAAAGAAAACCATCTGTGGTGCCAGGTTAAGTTGAATCTAAGTGTGCGCTACCAGAAGCCTGATCTCACCTCCATTATCCGGGAATTGGCGGGCAAGAGTGTGGTTCACCAGGTTCAGCACATCAAGAGGGCTATTATCTACAAGGGCAACGATAACGAGCAGCTGTTGAAGACAGATGGCATTAACATTGGCGAGATGTTCCAGCACAATAAGATTCTTGATCTGAACCGCCTCTACTCCAATGACATCCATGCAATGGCAAGAACGTACGGCATAGAGGCAGCATCGCAGGTGATTGTTAAGGAAGTGAGCAACGTGTTCAAGGTCTACGGCATCACTGTGGATCGTCGACATTTGTCACTTATCGCCGATTACATGACCTTCGACGGCACTTTCCAACCCTTGTCGCGTAAAGGCATGGAGCACTCCTCATCGCCCCTGCAGCAGATGTCCTTTGAGTCCAGTTTGCAGTTCCTGAAAAGCGCAGCCGGATTCGGCAGAGCCGATGAGCTGAGCTCCCCGTCGAGTCGTCTAATGGTTGGACTTCCAGTGCGAAATGGTACTGGTGCCTTTGAGTTGTTGACGAAAATTTGTTAATAAGCATTTGTATAAGAAGAAATTGAAAACTTTTTAAATAAACATACGAGGTGTGTTCAAAAAGTAAGGTGACTTTTCAAATTTCGCGGGCAACATATTTTCGATTATCGTTTTTTTTGTTTTGTTATATTGGTACACTCTTCCCTAACATCTGTACCAAGTTTCAATGGAACATCCTCTTTTGTTTGGTTGTGAGAGGCGTAAAGTTACAAGTTATTTTGCGAGCTCGGCGATTTTTTGCTTTTTTCGGTCTTGGCTCGTCTGGGCTCTTCCATTGGGACGATTGGGCTTTGGTTTCGATATCATAACCATATACCCATGATTCGTCACCAGTTATGACCCTTTTGAGTAAATCTGGGTCGTCGTTGACGTCATTCAACAGCTCTTGAGCGATGCTCATGCGACGGTTCTTTTGCTCAAAATTCAGCAATTTCGGAACAAACTTCGCTGACACACGACTCATACCCAAAACGTTTGAAAAAATTTCATGGCACGAGCCAAGCGATATACCGACATCTTCAGCAACTTCTCTGATAGTGATTCGACGATTTTCCAAAACAATTTTCGTCACTGCTTGAACGTTTTCATCAGTTGTTGACGTGCTTGGGCGTCCAGAGCGAGGCTGGTCATTGGCATCTTCCCGGCCATCTTGGAAGAGTTTGTACCACTTGTACACATTTTTTTACTCAGAACAGTTTCACCGTATGCCACTGTCAACATTTCAAGTGTTTCAGAGCACTTAATTTTATTTTTTACACAAAATTTGATGCAAATCCTTTGATCCATATTTTTCGATAGCAAAAAATCGCCGAGCTCGCAAAATAACTTGTAACTTTACGCCTCTCACAACCAAACAAAAGAGGATGTTCCATTGAAACTTGGTACAGATGTTAGGGAAGAGTGTACCAATATAACAAAACAAAAAAAACGATAATCGAAAATATGTTGCCCGCGAAATTTGAAAAGTCACCTTACTTTTTGAACACACCTCGTAGATTAATGTTGAAAAATTATTTAAAACGTGTAAAATTTTCGTTTATTTAATTACGGACAAGTGTAAACATTTAAAGTTAAAAATACGTTTAAGAAACTACTATTAAATTTTTTGGTTGCTTTCAGAACTTATCACAAGTCAACTGGTATTGCCAGTTCCTAACAGCCACACTCGGTTCGAATTTGCCGGCGACAGGGTCCAGGAGTTCCTCAACAGTTCCAAGTGTACCTCCAGTTCCTGAACCCGTTCCTGATCTTGTTCCAACTCCATTTCTTGTTGTGCCTGCAGATCCGGTTTCGAATCCTGCTCCGGTCCCGAATCCTGCTCCGGTTCCAATTCCTGCTCCTCCAATAGAGGAGGTAATCTTGAAATCGTACGGCTGCAATTGCCTGGGACGTCTGGCACGCTGATTATTGAGTATCTGCTCCCGTCGCCCCCCCTCAAGATTACCTCCTGCAGTGCCCGATCCTGCTCCTCCGCTTCCATCCTGTTCCCGTTTCGTTGCACGACCACCTTTGCGCCAGGACTCGACATTGGCAATGCCTGAGGTCGATGGTACCTCATCCTTTCGCCCACCAAAGATGGTCGTCCAACGAAACAACTTATGTCATAAACTGTAGCAATCCGAAGCCGATGATGCACTGCGTCTTCGCATTGTATTTGGGTCTCTTCTTAGAAGATAAACGCACATACAGAGACAGGCAAGAAGTAGGCACACGAGTCCCAGCATGGCATAGAATCCCTGGCGGTATCGAGCTGCATCTGCACTTGCTTCTAAGAGACGCACTCTCTGGCCCAGTGCTCCTCCTCCTTTTAAGTCCTCCTCCCTTTCCAGTGGGAGTAACACCTGCCAAAAGCCGTAAACCCTCTGTAAGTGATTGGAGTAACCCGAATCTTGTTGATTGCTGGCAGTGTAAGAATTGGAGGTTGTTGTTCTGTAGGTATCATGGCGATTGCTACGCGATAAGCTTCTGTCTAGACTTGAAACTCCAGTCTCCCCTCTTAGTAACTTATCCACCTCCGCTTCATCCACCGATCCCGCCTGAGAAGTCTTTGCCTGCTCTCCCAAGCTGTAAACAAATGGGTTCTCCTGGTTGTAGGGCAACCATCCATCATAGATCCTTCCAGGTGTTGGGTTACCATTTTTAATAAAATTCGCAAAGGCTCCTCTTATTTTCCGGCAAAGCTGCTCCTCCTCGCCACTGAATCTTCGGCGAGCTATCTGCTGAAATAGACTCGGACCCAGAAGCAACGGAAGATCCGAGCTGTGAGAGGCTCCACCGAAAAGATTCCTTTTCCCTCGCATGTCCATCGAATGGGATTGGTCGAATACATAGGCATAACTGATGGTTCCATTGAGCAGATCCAAGAGGCGAAAGAAGGGCAATTCGTAGAGGGATTCGGAGAGCAGTCGTTGCATTCCACCCAATAGATGAATGATTCCATCTCCTTTGCCATTGAAGTATCTCCATCTAATGGCTGCCAATTGGGAAGAGCTCTCCTCACCCACAGACTCTAGGGCTCGCATCACATTTGGTAACAAGGTGTGATTGATGTACTTTTGGAGTGCCACCTGACCCTCCCTGGCCACGTCCAACCAGTATTCCTGCAGGAAGGCTCCTTCATTGGACGTGATGCCCAGAAGCAAGGGAGGCAATGTTTTGTTGCGAAGTCGTTGTTCGAATGACAATCCTTCGGGTAGAATTACACCCAACTGGGAGCTTCCATTGCCATGGTTATAGACACTTTCGTAGGCACGGAGTAAGTCTTCTCGGCTCTTTCGCCTTAGGCAACCTATCAACTGGCGACGCTGGGCCTCCTCAAACTGGCAGCCTAATTTCTGGACCAATTCCTGACCCGTTGCCACAATCCGCTTTTGATGATTCTGACCCAAAGTTCGCATAATGGGACCGGGTGACATGAGCATCAGTTGTTTAACTAAATTTGAATCCTCCAATGTGGCAACCAGTGCCAGAGGTGCTCCTCCACTACCATGACCCAGAAGAGTTATATGATCCGGATTGCCACCAAAGGCCACTGCATTCTTTTCAATCCATCGCAATGCCATCCGGACATCACTTAATCCATAATTTCCAGGGGTATGACGATGTTGTTCGCCCAGACTCAGCCATCCGTATATATTATTTCGGTACTGGACACTGACCACCACAATTCCCTCGCCAGCCAGATCCAAACCATTGATACGGTTTTTGGGCCAATCGTAAGCGGACTCCTCACCCGTGACAATAACAACGATGGGCAGTTTGCCATATCGCATTCCCGACTCCGGTGTCCAAATGTTTAGGTACAGGCAATCCTCGTCTGTGCTAACCGATCTGGGAATACCACCGTCCGGACTCTCATCGTATATTGTATTCGAGAGCTGCAGGCAAATTGGTTGCATGGATGTGGCTTGGAGGGTGCGATTGAAGTTGGAACTCGGTTTGGCGGGCTGAGGGGAAAAAATAATATTTTTAGTCGATTTTGGGCAATTATTTCGTCTTTTGAATACTAATGACTCGTTCAACCTTTTTAGCCATTGAGTTTGAACGTAAATAATAAAATATTTTGGAAATGAAATCACAATTAGAATATGTTTAAGTAATATACATCATCCGATTTGAAGTTATCCTTTAAATATTTGTAAAATACTATCCTTAACTTACAGCAAATCTGAGTTCGTTGACAGGAGCCTGGGCGTAGGGAATACCTAGAAAAGCGTAGACAGCGCCACGTGTCCCATCCGGAAACACTTTAAGCTGAAATCAAATTCCGTTCTACATACTTCTTCAATTCGAGTATTTTTCCATCTCACCCCAATGAGATCTCCCTGGTCCAACTTGATATGCGTCTGTTGGCCAGAACAGAGTTCCGACAGGTGAACCAGAATCGGTAGAAGCCAGAAAAACTGTTGAATCCTTAATGCATTCCACATGATTGCCAGTTGCAACACTCACTTTTTAGCTCTCACTTTTAGCACATAACTTTTGCATAGTTCATGGCGCATTTAAGCGCATTTATTAATTATCGTACTCCTGTTTTTTTTTTGTGTTACAGTTTTTCCCGAAAACGAAACGAAATATCTGTGAATATTTCACCGAAATTCCGAATTTTTTATACGCTGCAACTTTTCGTTCGTTCGACGTTGAAATGGAAACTGAGCCAACGAAAAAAAACAAAATACTGAAAAAACGCACACACCACGAATAAAGTTAGCTGCCCCTGGGTCGGTGAGCTAACAAAAATTTCTGCTAGAATTATTTCAATTGTTTTCTGGTGTCATTACGGTCGTTGTTGCTTTTGTTGCTGCGGTGCGCAGCGAATCATTCATGCATCCATAGATCAAAACACCAGCGACACCACCAACATACCATACTCGTATGCCATGTATGCCATACACCATATCCAGCGGCAACAATGAGTTGGGTAGGTTCTTTACAGAGCCATGGTAACGGGGCTCAACTATTTGTGGATCTGGACCCTAAAACCCAAGAGGCAGCCCTCTCGATTGGTGTTGAATGGGTCCCATCGAGGGTAGAATTTGTGGTTACCAGATATTATAGGGTTCCTTTTATATCTTAGCTTTATGATATAAATATTCCTTTAATTATTTCTTCAAATAAACTTTAATTAAAGATCACGCTAATTACTTATTAGAAATTATATCAATTTAGCTTCTAGTCAGTGAGACATAGGTTGTGCCTCGTCATTTCGTGGAATCAGACTGAGCTCAACTTTCATGTGTAAGTTTAATTAAATGTCTTGAGAGAATGTATATTAGACACTCAAATAGGTCACCACTTTCGAGTATTTTTATGGAAGTCTTACTTAATCCACTATATGAGGAGATACGGAAATGTTATATAAACTATTTAAATTTAAGTCTTGACTAACTATTAGTTCCAGATCTTAAGAAAGACACAGGATAAATTGCATCAACATTTATTTTCTATATAACTATTATTTAGCTCCCGAACTTCTTAACCCTCCCTCGCACTTGTTTTTCATTGAATTCCGCACTGCTGTTAATGTCAAACATAAATTTTTCTCTGCTTCACAACTCTCTCCCTCCCTTTCCCTTTACCGCCCTCATTCCATCTCACTCCCTCTTGGCAAATGAAGTTGTCGCTGGGTTTTCGGGGTCTGCAGCAGATAATGTACCATAATGCTGCCGTAATTTCCCCACTTGCCCAATATGCCGTTTGCTGGTGGTGGTTAGATGGATGGATCCAATTCTGGTTCTGAATCTGATTCCGAATCCGATGTTGTTAGTTTGCCAGTGAGTTGGTGACTCTGCTCGACGGGGCGGAGTTCCGGTCTGCGGAGTTCGACGGGCGATCTCTGGATGCCGACTGCCGGAATGCCAGCAATTAACGTGGAAGTGAATGTGGTTGGTTCGTTGGTGGGATGCGACTGCTCCAGCATCATGTCCCCACATTTATGTATTTTAATTAGTTTAAAACGTAATTTGTTTGTTGACCTGCGTGGATTACGAGCACAAAATCGCCTTCACCGGCCGTCAATTTGCCAGATCAGCAAAGCACTCACAAAAATATTAACTAAATCTAATAAAAAACAAAAATTAATATTGATTTGTTTGATTAAAAATGTATATGAATATAATATATTTTAACACAATATTTATGGGAAAGTTAAATTTTTAAGTTTTTAAACTTTTTGATGATTTTCAAGGAAGACAATAGGAGGAAGGGCTTATTAGGGACTATAGGAAAGTCTACATTCTAATATTTGAATATTACCTTCTAGATTCTAATATTTCTATATTACCTTTTTTAAACAGTTTCTCATTGATATATATTTAAGCAACATTTTTGTAAATTTTTTGATGTGTGATTTCTGGATTTTTGGTGGTGGCATTTGTCTTTGCTGAAGCGACGCACATAATTTTCAGTTAATTATGAAACACAAAGTGCACATTTAAATGGTCGCTCTACTGGAATCGGCCTGGCACCCATCTACCCTTCCACTATATCTCCCCGATCCGATTCCCCATATATCTTTTGGCCAATGGTAAGTTAATCAATTTATGCCTACGAACGTTGGTGGTTCACAGTTTGGTTTTGTGCGGGCCGCCGTTCAATTATAATAAATGGCAATGACGGCCTAGTTTGGTCAATATGCACACACTTATGTGTTTGTGTGTGTGTGTGGGTGCGGGCCAGTTGGCAGTAAACAAATTAGCCTGGCCGAGTGCTGTGAAAATCCCGTTAAAAGTTGATGGCTACGGGTATGAAAGGTAAAATTTTTGGTACTCGTTCGTCTATAAATATTATAAATTACAGCAGGGGAAACCCGTATTCATTTAAAAAGAGGTTTTTAGGAAATTATTTAGTTTGGAAGTAAAGAGCTTAAAGAAGTTATTCACTTGCTAACTGTGGAAATAAAACATCAAAACTGCAAATTATTAACTAGCCTCAAGAAAGTAAGTGCTGAGTGAAAGTAAATATGATTTAAACGCCCATGAAAATATTCCAACCGTAGCTATAAATCAATTCAGATTAGCACATTTTTCTTGGGGGCCAATAAATTCCAACTTCCATTTCACCTTCTGGAATTTTACTTGGACTTTGCACCTGATCCTTTACCATTTTCCATTTCCCTGGCCATATTTACTCCAATGTCGGTCCAAGCTGTTGGCTGACCAAAAGGCTACAGATTGTTGTGGCATTTAAATGTTGATAATACTTTTTGCCTATGTCCAATAAATTCGTCAGAAAAACGTTTGACACAAAACTTGCCGTCAACACTTGTAACCGAATAAGAAGACCTTAAATGGAAACACAAATTGTACTGGAATTTATACAAATATTTGTGGAGTGCATATTGGGAAATTTTGGCAGCTGCACTCGAAGCGAGAACAATAGAAACAACAAGGACACTTCAGGCGGAAACCCTCAAGTCGCCGAAAGTTTGGCCTTTGTTGCATTCTCGTAATGAAAATATTTATGATTTTTGGAGCCGAGTTGATTGTTTACATATTGCCAAAGCATATTGAAAACTTCTTTATTAAATTTTACTTCAATAAAAGCCAATTGTTTCTTTTTGTTGCCATCGCTGTGATTTTGTTTTCATTTTCCTCTCTCTCTCTCTATATATATTTGTATATAAAAAATGGCTGGGAAAAATTTTAGTTTTCTGCCAGAGCGGGCTGCGTGTATTTCTCCCTGATTTTCCCTTCTGAATTTTGCTAGATGAAAAATGTGAGGGATGTGGGTTGCTGGCTGATTGCTATGGCTTCTATTTCAGCTCCTGCTGATACGATGCCAGAGGTTGACTGCTTCACCAATTCAAATTCTGTTTCATATTTTCATATTTTTGCTAAACAATGGCATCAGATGTCGTCGTAGTTGTTGCTTTTGGAATATCTCTGCAAATATTTGTTGCACGTTCGTATTCAAAATCGTTTAGTTAACGAGTCGTAAACACTTGTGATAGAATTCGACCAGACTTTTGTACGATAAATTTATGCATGCAGTTTTTTTTTGTTATATGGCTAAATCCCATTAGGTGAATCCAAGTTCGATAGACACTTTTTGATACAACTTAAATGAATTTATGAATATTTCAGGGCAGGTATTTGATTTTATTGGCAAGAATATAATGTAAGATGTAACAAAAATATTACATTTTAATTATATGAGGATATATCTGCAAGCCAATAGCAAAAATTAAATCATGCAAATAAAACTACGAAATTTGAAATAAGTAAATCGTATGACGTACTCGCAGTGTGGTCCAATAATACAAATACTCAAACAAGTGAAGGAATTATAGTTTACCATGATGTATTCGTATTTTTTTCTGTTATCAATATTTTATAATAAATTTATTTTTATAACAGATTACATGAAAAAATAAGTAAGAGGAGTTTGCATGATTATTAATTAATTATGAATGCATGAGATAGTTCTGTTCTTTTAACCGCTTGAGTAAGCAGTTGAAATATTTCGAATGCATGGGATTTCTGGGGAATGGCTAGAATAAAAACACTCAACTTGGCCGCGGTAATTACGTAATTAGCAGAGAGTATGAAATGCAAAGAGTGAGCTGGCAATTTGCGTAAAGTATTTAACAAAACAATGCATAGAAGTTGCCTGTGTTGGCAGTTGCTTTAAGCCTAATTTAACGGTTCCGCAGACAAACAACGCGAATTGCGAACAGCAGCAGCCATTTTGTTTATGCCCCTAACCGCACACACAAGTTGGCAGTACTTAAAGGGGGGGGGGCGTGGAGGGGGATGAAGAGGGTCTGGAACATGGCCCACTTTCTAATTAATGCAAAATATTGCAGCTGCAAAAAAAAAAAGAAACTACCATATGTGTTGCCTACTTTTAGGTTGTCGCTTGTATGTAAGTTTTCCTAGCTGTTTTTGGAGGGCATTTTTAGCGACGGCAGGAGTGTAGGTAGCTATGGGGGCGTGGCACTTTGGCGGTTTCTTTGTTGCCTACATAAAGCATCACTCACATACACATACACAAAGAGGGTGCTGTAGTTGCAGCAACTCCCACATCAGGAACATGCAACAACAACCTTGGCAATGTCAACAGCAAGGCATCCTGGCGGAAGCAAGTGACCGCCGCCAGGGGTCGCCTGTGTGCCTGTGCTGCTAAATTAAATCCAGAAAAAAATTGTAACCTCCATATGGCGTAAAAACAACTGGGAAAAATGGTTCAACAATATACAGCTGAGCCTTAAAAAAATGACCTTTATTATGGGAAAATAAATTTTTGTCCTTTGCTGGACCTTAAGGTTCAGAATTTAAATTTTGGTCCAGTTTTTTTGGTTAGTTTTGGTAAAATGTCAAAGGTTAATTTTTTGATAACAAAAACTTTTTATTTATCATTTTTGTATTTGATTTCTTGAAACTATAGAAGAGTTTACGCTTCTATCATCCAAGATGCATCCGAAAAATTTCCAATCTAATTGCTACTAAAAGCCTTCCTTAATCGATTTACTTAAAGAAGACCCTGCACTATCGATGGCAGTCCATAATTGCCATTTGGTAAGTGCTTTGTCACCAAGCTGCAGAAAGGCATGCAAACCACGAAATTTCATTGCAGACCTTAGATGGCAGTGCAATTTATTAATTTTCTAGTGCAATTTCCAGTACAGAGCGGTATGTAGGTGTATGGAAAATGAAGTTTTTCCTTTGAGTTTTGCAAACTAGCAAAATGGCGACGCATTTTACGGCAACGAAATTTTCAGCTCGCTGAAAAGTTTGCGGCTAATTCCTTGGGCAAACTTTAACACAAATGTGTTTAGACGGGGGTTCCCCTTTGCTTCACCTTGTTTAATTGAAAACGCATTAGCAGCTTAATTTAGTAGAGAAAAGATAAACGAAAATGGTTCGAGTTTCAGTTTAATTTTTATTCAAAAATCACATTTGTTGTTTTTTATATATATACCATATATATATATATATATAATATTTCTGCTGCGATGTTTGCCAATAATTTATGGTTTAGGCTTACTAGTTTACCGCTTTCATGGTTTTATTTATGTAATTTACATTTATTCATGTGTAGGTGTGTTGGTATGTGGTGTTAGGTGTTAGGTGTGGGTGTGTTTGCCTTAAGCTTTAACAATCATTACTAGGCAATAGTTTTAAGCACATTCACTATATATATAATATAATGTACTATTTATCGTTTTAAATTTACTTGCAGTTCAACACGGATTTCTTTTTGGTTTCTGTACAAATTTAATGTATTATTTACCTTGGACAAACACAAATGGGTAGAGTAAAAATAAATATTTTCATGAATCGTTTGCATTTGCATTACTTTATGTGCAACACGCCAATCATCTTTCATATTTGCCAATGAAAATATACTGAAAACAAAATGAAATATAATTTCATTTGACAAGTGACATTTTGTGAGTTCAAAGTGATTTCGATATCAATCGAATTAATATTATGGACATTTTTTCAATGATTTGATGTTTTATTTCGGAATATCAATCTTAAGCTCAGATATGTTTTCATTGAAGCATTGCCAGTAGTAGTAGTAGTAGTAGTAGGTTGAGTTCTACAAAATGATATTCGGTTAGATATAGTTTGTTGGAATTCAAATACAAATAATAAATGCTAGTATTTCATGTCCTTGCATTTGCCAAAACCCATTTTCTTCACACTTTATTGTCGTTTTTGTCAAGCCATTCTATGCAAATTATCATTTGGTGTGGAAAGTTTGATATTAGCAGACTAATTGGGTAACAATTTTAATATAAATATTTTTAAATAATATTTGTTTTACATCATCAATCTATACAATCGAATTAACCCTTTGCAAGCTCCATTTACATTCAATACTTTTTAGATTCTCTTAAAAATCTGCCTTTGATGGAATGTTTTTTAGCTTTATTGAATAACCCATCGGAATAATAAGTGAATGAAGTATTCACTGTGGAATTTTTTCGCACATGGTTTGTCCGAATAAATGTGGCAAAATAATTGATTATGCACAATTATCCCTATAAAGCAAATGAAATAAATGAAAATGAAATGTGAGGAGGGAAAGGAGGGAAGGGGTAGAAAGAGGAATTCCAGGAGAAGGGGGTTCAAAGTGTATATGTATTAATGAGAGCACATGCAATTTTCAATCGTATCACAACATCTATATTCGTATTTCAATGTTATTCGCATTTCATTAAGATTGGTTTGGGTTTCGTTTGTATTTTTTTGTTCGTTTTCGTTTCATGTTAATGTTAATGCAATAAATTTGATTACCGTTTTCGCAGGCTGCAATAATTATTTTATTGTTATTAATTAATGGCTTTTGCAATCGTTTCGTGTTTGTGTTTGGCCTTTTTTATCCGTTTCTCTTCCTGTTCTTCTTTTCCTTTGTTTTGTTTTGTTTTTTTGTTTTTGGTTTTTTGGTGTGGGCGTGGCGGGATCAAGGAGCCTTTTCAATATTTTTGGTCAAGTTGTTTTTGTATTGTTTGTTTGTTTGTTTGCTTTTGCCTTGGTTAAGATTTTCCACTATGTTTACCTGTTTTTTGTTTTTGTTTTCGATTCGTTTTTTTATATTTTTAAATCTGTATAAAAAGTGCAATTGTCTGTTTTTGTGTTTCTTGTTTTACATTGTTTTTGGTTTGTTGTTGTTGCTGTTGTGTCAAATACAAATTCACAAATACAATTATATACGAGTTATAATACAAATATCCTTTACACACAGATACAAAAAATAAAACGCACTGTACAAAATTCTGATCTGATTTGGTTTCAACTTTTCAGTTGCCTCTATATATTGTATACGTATGTGATATTGTGGGTGTGTATGTGTTTCTGGTGTGTTGCTAGTATGCGTGTGTGTGTTTGTGTGTGTTTGATGTGCATATCCTTCGCCTTGGGCCATACACACACATTCCGAATATGCATATCCATATAGCTGGCATTTTTGATTATTATTATTCGTAGTCAACGGCAAAAATGTTTGTTTGAAATGTTTGATTTATGTGCATGCTGATAGGGAACATTTCATTGCATTTGTCGTCCCTGTCCGTCCATTTGCATTCCGTCTCTGTCTCTGTCTCTGTCTCCTTTCGCTGGTGCAGTCATGTTTTGACATCCGCACAGCTCATCCATTCACAATCGTATATATATACACATATATATACTGGTATATATTCATATAGCCGATAAGCATATTTGACTGATAAATGCTAAACAATTTCGCCGTTTGGCAGTCAAGAATTTCGAGAGTTTACGCCACATTCTAAGTTGGCATCAATCGATTACCCACTAAAATGTGATTTTTTTTTAGGTTTTTAAGAACCAGTTTGAAGGCAGGGATAAAAATAACAAATGATAAAGGAATTCTCAGGAATATTATTACGTATATTACTTATATTATAAGTGAAAATGAAATCAGCTGATTGTGAACAGCAAAACTTTTGATTTAAAAGTTAAGAAGATTTCCTGAAAAATCTAAATAAAATCCAGAAACTGATTCTTTCACTTAAATCGCAAAATTTAAACCAAAATACAAACATTTCTCACAAATATTAAATCCAAACTCATTTGATATGTTAAAGCATAGTTATTGCTTTCAGCTCTTATTGCCCTTTGCACTTGGAAATTGACATTACCACAGAAATAAAAATCCCTAAAAAAAATCAAATAATAAAACAAAGTTATCAAATTGTATCTGCAATCGTGTATATTTGTTGTAAAAAATAGTTATAGAAATATACTTTAGCTATAGTATATACGTATAGAAGTTTGTTACTTAAACTAAAAAATGCTCCCACTGACAAGGAGCCCCACTTTTTGATATGCGTGTGTGTGATTAAAAAGTTAATTGCATACATAATATGTTAATTGAGTTACGTACTTCAGTAAATGGCCACGTTAAGAAATAAAAGCTGAGTTGTCCAAATCAATAAAAAAAAATTGCACATAACAAATTGAAAATGGAAAGCTACTTAAACTTTAAACTTAGCATTAGTTAATTGCTTCTCCTTTTGAACGGATTTTGTGCATATATATTGCTGAATGTCCTGAAAGGAGCTCATCCCCCGGTTCTAGTTGCTGTTGCTGTAGACAGTTCCATAATGGTCACGGATAATCAGATGATTTTTACATACGGAATTCGAGTAGCCTCAAGTTGGTATTCGAAACTGAAAAGGAGACGACTTTGTCCTGTCCACACACACACACACACACACACACATACACAAACACACAAACATTTACCATTGATAAATCACTAACTATACACGGAGAGTTTACAACAAGGACATACAAACATTTACACATACAAAAACTCAACTCACACAGTACAAAAAATCGGCTACTTATATATCCTATACATACATATATATATATATATCCATTTTGCATATAGAAAATTTGCTAAGCGCAGCTAATTTGAAATTAGCAAAAAAGATGGCAAAATCGTTCGCTTCGCTTGCAGTTAACTAGGCTAATTCACATAATTGTATTTAGAGTCTAAATATATATACACATTGCATATATAATTGCAAAAGGATGCCAGGATGCTTACATCGATGTACACATACATATACATTTACATTACGCCCCATATTGGCTCCTAACTAACTAAGTTCCTTTCTTCTCTTTCCTTTTTCATTTTTTCGCTACTAATAATAATTAACATAGTTCTTGCTCATCGCTTGGCCAGCGTCAAAAAACAGCATTTCATCTAAACTTATGTGTGTGTTTGTGTTCGGTTTTGTATTGGTATTACTGTGGCTGTGATTGTGGTTGTATGATGTATATGTATTCAGTACTCTTAACGCTTGTAGCTATTGCCAGGATGCACATATCGCTAGCTGCCGACCAACTCGATCTGGCGATATTTCTTGCGCAAATTGGAAACTGGATCACGATACAGCATGGGATCCATGCGCAAATTGGAACGTATCAGCGGCATATAGCTGGAAAAGATAGAAAGATAATAATGTTTATAAATCAACAAGATATATTTTTAAACTAAGGATTAGATTCATTCTTTAGTTTAAGTAAGTTTGACCGCAATACTAAAAGGATCTGACTTACAAAATTTAGATTTTGAAAATACTTAAACTTCTTTATTATCTCACTTCTATAAATAAAACTCACCCAAACACCGCCGCAAAGGTATTCAGGCAGCTCTGGCGCTGAATGAAGTGATCAGGATCATTCCAGGGCGAACGACCCGTTTCGCGATCCTTGTAGCCCTTGCGCTGCGTCACTTTGATCGGCGGCTTCCTGGTCACGTGCGAGACCAGCAGGTTCATTAGGATGTCCTCGCAGTTGGAGGACTGCTGTACAGTCTTAAGTAGCAGCAACGACAGCCAATTGGTGTACAAATAGTTATAGTAGCGGTGGTAGAAGGCCGCCCCAGTTAGCACAATCGAATAGTAGTTTGTCCACTTGGACGTATAACCCCAGGCATTCTGCAAGGATATCTTTCTTATTAAGATCTATCAAATATACAAACTAAACTTAAAGCCCACCTTGGAATCATCCCAGAAGTGTGCTCTTGCCGGATAGCCAACGATGCGTTCAGGAAAATCCCTCCACACCGTATAGGCAAAGTCCAGTTCATCTGTATTGAGTATGGCATCTTCATCCAGGGACAGGACAGCATCCGTTTGAATCTCTTCGTAGGGCAGGAATCGTTGTGATATGCTCGGTCGTCCCTCAGTCGTCTGGCTTGTGGGTCCAGCTCCCAGACTTCTAGTGCTGCCCCCCAAGGAAATAACGTGCAAGGGTATATGGTTGGTGGGAGGCCAACGTTTCTTCAACGGCAATGGTCGATCAGCTGCCCAAAGGACAAGGATCTAAGGATAACAAATGGGTATTTTTTAGAACTCATAAATATAGTTTCCTTGCTTGACTTACCCTTTCCACGAACTGGCTCTTCGTGATGGTCTTGACTAGCTTGTAGAGCGCTGCATTGGGACCCAGGGCGGCGCCAATCTGCACGTAGATAACCGCCGTGTAGTTGTGACGCGGCTCGGCGCCCATTGAGTTCAGTAGAAATGGCATATACCTGCAAAAGTCATAATCGATTGAGCTGTATGGTTATGTAACCAGATATATATTTGTATAGAAACCAACCTTGAACTGTCGGCAAAGGTGGGCAACGTGAGCAGGGCTCCAGGCGAGCTGTTCCACACCAGACTGCTCCGCACCGGATAATCCGGCAACCGTTCGCGTATGATCTGTAAGATACGAATGGGCGGTAGGTAAGTGCCTGGGTTAACGCTTGTTTAATGGTTTGTCGATACGCTCAAGTGGTGATTGCCAATTGATTGCCTAATGAGGAGGAGGAGAAGGAGTAGCAGGAGGATAACTACCAGCGAGAAGCAGCTGAATTTCGAGTGCATTTCAAGGAGCGGGCCAAATTGCGTTTTGAATAGTCCTCCTCCCAGGGGTCTATCTATTCCCACAGTTCCCTCAGCATTCCCCTAGTTGACTATCTGGTTTGGTTTAGTCCTCCGCTGAGTGTGATAATTCAATGGGCCTGAGTTGTTGCCTAATTTTCCGCTTGGCGCAGATGGTGCCCTCTTCGCCAAAACCGCTTTTCCCCCATTCAGATATACAACGCCGGTCAAAAAAACAGCACTAAAGGGGAAAACCTTGAATGCCAAACATCTGGCAAGCTTCAAAGTGGTTTCTTTTAATGGTCATGAACTTAAAGATCAATATATTAGAGGAAATAAAACTAATTTCCTTGAATGTTTTTGTATATATAATATTGTAAAACTCATAGGTTCCTTCTTTAAATTAACATATTTAATATTAAATATTTTTTTAATAATTTTTCGAAGCTTTAAATACTTTGTATAAAATATTGAAGCGATTAATAGTAGTCCCACATTAAGCTTTAACCATAAACTATTAGCCCGAGCTATAGCCATGCATATATGAATGTCGAGGGGCGTTACCGCAGTTTCCGCTGCGCAGCGGAAGTCGCACAGCAACCTCTATGGCCGGAAATGCCTCTCTGTCTCTTTCGCACCCCCATCCCAAAGTGTTAGACAAAGCCAGAAAGATACGATACGGAAGAGGGGGGTTTCATGACGAAAGAAGAGAGAGAGAGAGAGGGCGAGAAACTCGCGTGCCATTAATGCGGCGTTAATTTGTCGCTCAAAGTGCGAGAGCGCCTTAAAGTATGCCATGCCAAATTAGTTAGACATCCCAGCCGCAGTTAACCCGCCCAGTCCTCCTCCTACATTTTCCATTTGGCACTGTTTTGGCTCCCAGTTTGCGTTTGAGTTCGGGTTGAATGCAATTATAATTGCAAAGCCTGACCCCAACTAAGAGTTTAGTGGTGTGGTATGTTGGGTGTTGGGGCGGATTTCGAGTTGAGTTATGCAAGTACAGGTGCAGCCACGTGCACCTGACAGAAAACAGAAGACGTAGCGTTATGCAAGTGCCACCAACCGCCATCCACCATCCACTATTTACCACCCACTTCACAACCTGTGAGCTGAGCTGAGCTGAGCTGAGTTCATTCGTGTTATTTCTGTCTGGCACGCTTCGCTTTTGTGCGTGTGGTTAGTGGGAATTTGAATGCAGTCAGGGGGGGAGGAGGATCATCTCCCGCCGGATTCCCACTTCTATTCAGGCTAAAAGACATAATGAGACGTTTGGGGAGCGGTACCTACAATTAGACGCAATTACGGTTGACAGATCGACAGTTGCCAATCCTTTGGGTGTCAAAAATGCTACCCTGGTACTTGGAAAGTTAATAAAAAGATATTTTTTAACATTTTTAGTTAAAAGTTTGCTGAACATCCTTATAAACTGATTTCAAAAGAGATTAAAGTGAAAGATTAACTTCTAAAAAAATGAAAGATTTACTTCATAAGCCTGACTTTTTGAAAGAGTTATAAGTAAGCTTTAGAATATGTCAGAACCATCAGTCTTGGGTACGTATAAACTCACTAAGCTTTTGCCCAACTCTCGGCAGCTTCTGAAAACTATCAATATTCATAAGCTTAATCCAAAGCCAGGGCATCCTAACTTCGTTGGGGGGTTTTAAATTTTATTTTTTGTCTATTTCTTTTTGTTTACATCCATCATGGTGCTTTGGCCCGCTCGTTAAGCGCCAAGCGCTGCCAACCAGCAGGTGCGGGAGCGAACTAACCAAACTAGGATTTCGCTGCAGTCTGTCGTTGGTCCTGTCGATCCTTGGCTGGCTCCTCTTGCTTGTCTGGCTGCCAACGTGTCTCAAGTGCCTGCTTTATATTTTGTAATTATAATTCCTTCTTCAGGGGGGAACAACTAACTTCCCCCCTTTTTGCATAATCAACGCTTTGCAACGCGGGAAGCGTGTTTGTTTTACCCATTTCTTTGGCCAGCTGTGTGCGTATGTATCTGTGTGAAATGGTGCTCCTGTGTGCGTGGGTTTTTGTTGTCCTGCGACATAATTAAGTCAATCTCATGCTGTTGACGCTGCCAGCATAATTGAGAGCGAGAGGCAGCTAACAGGGGCCAAAAGAGGAAAGAGATGGCCTATGTACGAGTTTGCCTGCAATTCAATTATGCACATTGCACATTGCACATGGCACATGGCCCACTGCATATATGTTTAGGCCTGGCCCTGTTCATATCCTCTTTGCCCACATTTTAATTGGCCAACAAAGTGCATTTAATTGGCTTAGATCCATGTTGCACAGCCAGAATTTTTAAGTTGCCCCTCCCCCCCAGAAGAAGCATAAACCTTGGTTATTGGCTGTTTTTTCTGCAGTTTAAATTGATTATTAATAGAAATGTTGGCAGCAAAACGTCACAATTGAACTATAAATATTAAAACAAATGGTTTTTAGATTTCATAAGCCCTTTTAATAAGCATTTTCCATAATTTTTGAGCAGAAACCTTGTTCTTATCATGCATAGGCATAGCTCTTAATAACTCAAAATGTTTTCTCCAAATTCTTTAACAACTTTATCATCGTTTATCTATCACTATTTCTTAACATTATTCCAACAATATAATCAGATATACTTCTTTGTTAATTGCATATTTTGTCAGCCAAGTAGGTCCCACTGTAATCGTATTTGCTTGGCTACACATGTCAGAGGCTCTTTCTCCCATTCAGCTGCCTAGGATTTCTTTTCTATCATCCGTTGCGGCTGCTGCTGCTGCCAGTCCAAAATTTGGATGTCAGCCAGTAGACTTATCGCAGCAGAAGGGCCAAATGCAGCAGCAGCAGCAGCAACAATCGCTGCTAGCGGCGCTACTTAAGAGGCATAAGTGAGATGGAGTCGGAAAAGGAAGGCAACCAGAACTTCATTTCCGTTTCGCATCAGCATTGAGTTTCCTCATACATAGATGTGTGAGTGTCTTGGCTATGATTAAGTTGCCGGCTGTTGAGGTGACTGCCTGAGAGGCTCAGGACCCAATAGAGTGGATAATGCAGGCAAATAAAGCAGGTGAATGCATTTCTGGCCTCCAAACATTTGGCTTAAAGACGGAATTTAAAGTGTTTCATCAAGCAGCCAAACCAAATCATTTTCCCTTGGCCTGTGCAGAATTCCATTAAGAGTTTGGGGGGGCCAAAAAGTTGGAGTCGATGCATTTGAGCATATATAAAATATATACTCGTACATATGCAAATATTCAGAATACATGTCTGTGGAAAATTTGCTTAAATTAATTGCAAGAATTTCCTTTGGCCTATGCCAGTCGAAATTCCTTTTGGCCGCTTTTACATGTTTATTCTGTTGATCAGCTTTCTTTTTATGGCAGCTTGCTTTTGAGCAAATTTTAATTGAAGCTTTTTTGGGCAAGGGGGTAGCTTAAGTAGTTTGCGGCAAAAGAAGATTACAGATTAATGAAAGAATACGTTTTATGGGGGTGGGAGAAGGAGAGTTTAAACTATTTTGTAAAATGAGTTTTTAATTAAAGGCTTTTGTTTTGAAAGGGATTAAAGACTAAAGAAGTTCACGGGATATATTTAAAAATATTTAGTTTTTGATTTAACACACATTTTCATATGTTTTCTGTGCTAATCAGCTTAGTCTTTTCCCTGTTTTTGCAGCTTACATAAAAGCATATATGTTTACAAATTGAATTCAGCTGGGTGATGCAGATGCCATTGCAAAAGTTTTCGTTTCCTGTTCTTTAGCGTAATAAGAAAATGTCGGTTTATTTTTCTGCATACTATTTTTCTTAGCATACTTCTTGGGGCCAGCAACTTCCTGCTGCTCTATGACTATACTATATGTATGTGTATGGGCGAAAAGTGGGTGTTGCACAAGCGGGTTAAAAGTTCCAAGCTGTGCAAAGGCAGCTGCATACATAAAATGTTGTACTCCGCTGTTGGCCAGGCCAAAAGTTGCACTCAGTGACACCCAAAACACTCAACATCAAAAATAAAAGTAGAGAGCAAGGCGAACTCCTTCGAAGACAAACACTAAATTAACTTATGCAAGTAGCTAAGAGAGACATGAACACATTGATAAAAACGTAAAGGAAGTAAAAAATTGTATGTAAATGCTTCCTGCTGGCACACAACTTTTCCTCAAAACTTTCCTTTGCTTAAAAATTAACAAACGTCGAACCGGGGGTAAAAGAAAATGAAAAATGCTAAAAAAAAATAATAAAACCAAACAAAAACATTAAGGGCCTCGAGTACAACAGGGCGTATGCGTAACAAGTTGACTTCATTTTTAATTTCCATAAATAACTACGAATCTCTCTCTCTCTCTCTTTCTACTCAATTATATAGAGGAAATGAAAAACATACAAAACTCCATGAATATCCAAAAATATCCACCCTAAACATGGGGAAATTTATTTAAAAATTGAAGCACGGTCGCCGAAAAGCAAACAATTTTAGCCATTGTGGTTTTTGGCTTATGACAATTAAACAAAAACAGCAACCAATCGCTAAACCAATTTCGAACTGAATTCATTTCATATTACTCTTTTTTTTTTTTTTTTTTTTTTTTGTGTGTTCTGTTATTTTAGCCATATATTTTATATATGCGCCGTATTCGGACGTGTTTTCGCACAAAAATTTATCGATCTAAACTTGTTGACCAATGTTAATTAAGTGCGACTTCAGGGCCGAAAAGGGGTTTATTCGATGATGTGTAAATGTGTTGGCTGTACGATTCTTTGTCATTGTTTTTGGATTACCGAAAATATATTTTCCCTGATTCTATGGTGAAAATGAAATCTTAAATTCTTTAAAGTGTGCAGTTTGGT